AAGTAAAAAATTATATTTATATATATATCGAAAAAATTGTAAAATGACTAGTTTAAAAAAAACACAACAATAATAAAATATAATAATATACACCATAACACTAATACTTTCTCTTTGACAACATGCCGTCCTCGTAGTCGTGGGTTGGGCTAGTATATATCAATGTGTGTGTGTGTAGAATATAGTACTGTTAGACCAGGCTAGTCGGTCATTCACATCGACGGTGACCGGCGGTTCTGGTTTACAAGAAGTAATACACAACAATTGGATATTCGTGTCAATACAATTAATAATCGATGTAAAGGATGTCTCGAGCTTCGTCGAATGAAACAAGAAGAAAACTTGGCGATTCATTAAAAAAAAAATGTGTTTAATCAATCACAGCGATCACAACTTTAGCTTTACCACTTCTTCCAACAGAACAAGTTGTTAAATTATTAAACACTAATAACTAATAATTTATGACTATCTTCCATTAGTTATGACATAAAACAAATACGCGTGTTATAATCTCAATTTAATTACCATCATAATTATTATGATAATATATATTTATGTGTAATATTCAGACTACATTAATTGCTGTTTACGGATGAGTATAAAAACGACTCAGGCATTGTTTTTTTTTTTTACAACCGTATGTTAGATGAGTCATTCTAGTTTATAAAGTCTAGATTTGCACAAGGTTTGAACGCAAGAGATTCCGTTGACCACTATGTATAGGAATGTATATTATGTTCTTTACATTCTTTTATAGGCGCAATTACAATGAGGAGGCACCTAGCTTCCTCAGAACGGACATTTTATAAACCGTTATTATCGTATTAAAAATATTAATATTCGATACAAAATGATTGATACTACCCTGAAATTTTTGACTAACTTGTTGTGTTTATTTGGAAGCAATAACATTATGAATGCTATTCCTGCCTCCTGTTGTGGTACGATTTAGACGAGATTGGAACACCGCCATACCTATCCGGACCAGAGTATAATTTCTTATGCCACACTATAGAGACCACACAAGTGATTTACTAATACAATAAGTAAAATTAATGTTTCCCGCTTGAAAAAAAACTAAGAAAGATTGTACGTCGCTCCAGGACTTAACAACATATTATATTGTACCCTTATCGGGTGAGATTTAAATAAAAGTTAATTAATTTCTAATTGCGCGTACACGTTTGTTGGACAATTACCTGCGGCCAAACGAGACGAATAACTATAATAATTGTTTACGGCTTATGTATTTTGCATTGTGTTCTTTAACATATTATCCAGAGACCGACGCGACGGTGGCATGTCTAAGTACCCACCCGCGTACCTACCTGTGCCATGTTAATTGACGTGTATTTTGTGTGTAAATATAATATACGGCATATATGTGTATACTGTATACTGTACAAATACTGTGTCCCGTCTAAAAAACACTTACAATTAAGCACTCATTGATAAAAATAAAAACCTGGACGTGCTTACAAATGCATTATACAAATTACACGAGAAAGAGAGAAAAAAAACATTACCAATGCTTTTGTAAGTAGGTACAATCCAGAGTTTTTTTTTATCAATGAGCTTAATTGTAAGTGGTTTTTTATGGAACACAGCAATTATGTGTGGAAAGTATATATATAATTGTATGTAATAATTTTAAATAATAATATTTAGTCGAGTTAGGATGTTTGGTCTAACCCATCCGACTCAAACGGCCAAAGAATCTGTGACGAATCGATTGCCGGTAATCACGTTTTGGTCGGATTACATTTCCCTACTCAAACCGTTTGGGCACATCGTTAATGGTCGTTTCCGGATGAGTTGTATTTATACAAGTCGAATAACGAATAGGTAAACCGTTTATGAAACAGAAAAAAAAAACAAAAATCTATGTAAAGTTTGGCGATACAGTTACGACTGTCTGGAACCAACCGACCTTGGTCGAGAGAGGAAAAATATCTGGGCGAAAAAAAATATTCTATAACTGTCTAGGAGTTGTAATATATATTCGTTGTATCAGTTATATACCAGTATTGAATAACGTTTATGATTGTATAGAAACATTCAGCGAAAATGCAAAATGCCTATGGACAACACAGTTCATCACAACACCGCAACATCACAAAAAGAACCATTTGGAAATTTTGTGTTAAAATTATGTTCTGCTGTCTGCATTATTATTTTATTTCTAAGTTTTTATTTAGCAATATGGAAATTTACTTACAATATTTATTACAACTTGCAAATTTGCACTGCATCATCTATGACTATGAATAAAATCCTAGTATTGATAGACAAAAAACAATAACAAAAGATGTACAAAATAACTACAACAACACTACAGTGTTGTAGTATATTTAATTCGGTGAAATAATAATTAACTGGATTATGTCATACATAACTCGGACGAACCAATAAATAGAGCACGAACCTAACATGCCTAGCATATTATAAGCTCCTCACGGGTGCCCTACACAATGAATGTAAGATTAAGATTTATATATTATAACAACCCGAATGAAGGACAGACAATTAATTATATCCCAGAAGACTGACCGGGTATTGGTAAAAGAAAATCAGCCTTGACCAAAGATCGGCAGTGGTTGGCCGTAAAATGTTATAATTTGTTTTTATTAGCTTATTAATAACACTTAATAGTAAAATTAAAGCCAGAGTCACTTTTGGAAGTATATATATATTTAATGATATTAAATATTATATAATAGCAGGACAGTTATATTATTAATCAGTTTAAATACTATTACTGTTAATATATTATGTTATTTAATGTCTTGTCCAATACTGAAAAAAGATGGCGCGATTAAAATATTATCCACAGGTGTATTATGAATAGTGTATTTATAAAAACAAACGCGCTCCTTTTCCGATCATCCTATCTAAGCACAGGAGATACGGTACTTAAAACTGACAACAGTGATCGGAGGTACGTGTGCAGATCCATTGTCTATAATAATATGTACACTCCCATGGCGTCGATTCCATTGTCGTGACGATAATAATAATAACAATAATAATAATACATAAATTAAGTAATAAAATATTACTCTGGTCCGGGGGCGAAGAAGGTTCCGCAAACGGCAAAACATTTTTAACTGAAGCTATATTTTTTATTTCGGTTACGCTTCATTATAATATTTTTTCATACCTAGTTTCTTTATTCGACATATGAAAACAAGTCATAATAGTATTTTTTTTTCTTCAGAACGACGATCCCTCCAGCGTTTTCGCGTCGCATTGACGTTTTAATGAAATATATAATAATTGTCATAGGAATTTCAGCAGTGTTGTGTACTTACGCATAGCTGTTGCTCGTATTGTACAAGTTTCAGTGGAGTACAATAATTTTACGGTCGATTTGGGTGACAACAACGAAAATCGTCCGTCCGCGTCAAACTCGAGCCGTTGATGTACCGTTGAACGACCCGCGAGCAACGCTAGGCTGAAGAAATAATTTTAGAAGAGACATATTTTTTCTCCCAGTTTTGTATAGGTATAATACGGTAAATTCTGAAACGATGTTCCTAAAACGACGGTACATCGTAAAACGTGTGCATGTTATAACCGTTAACTATACCTAAATAAAAAGAAACGATTTGTGATAAAGTCTTTTTGGGTAAATATCTACTGAAACCTCATTTTACAACACAACACGAGGTCGAAAAAGCCTGTAAAGCACAATCAAAAACTTCTAACGCCTTAACGGATAATTAATAATTTCTGTTTTTTCTTGCAAAACACAAAACGTTTCACTAATATAATATGTAAAACCAGGAAAGTCACTTTTTTTCATTTTAATAAAAACATATTTAAATAAAGTTTTAAAAATATGTTTGTTCATTTCATTAAGTTGTACACATACAACTACATAAATAAAGTATTGTCCACATATTCACTATAGTGCCTATTGGTTTATCCGGCCCTACTTGATTTTCTATCAACGTCCCAGTTCAAGACATAAAATGATTTATTATTCATGTATATTTAAATTCAAGTAGTTATTTTAGTACGTTACAGACGATGAATATAAAAAATGCATTCAAAAAGCATTCAGTCGGTCATTAATGTCTAAGGAGTCCCCCTAGTCGGCAATACTTTGGAATTATAATTTGTTTTTGGATTTAGTTTCAACTCGCTGTCTCGTATACTTTTTTTCTTAACTAAACGTTAATCGTATGAGTAACCGCTAACAGCTATTTGTTTGTAAACTTTGTAGTTATTCAACAATTTCAAAATACCACAATTAACGCGATTGTGTAAAGTTTCCAAGTTGTTTGATTTTTTGAACTGGAAAGTATATTGTATTTTATAAAACGTAAAATGCTTGTATTGGCCCATAGCTACATTAGCACACAACAGCTCTGGTACTGTGGTGATATAGAATGTATCCCCGAGTGTCTACAGGAGAACGGGCGTATCTGGCAGTCCTTGTGTAAACCCATAGGTACCTAGTACGTTAATTATTATATTCTACTATACACGGCAACCTTGTCGGTCGGGCTATCGTTGTAGTGTTTTCAAATAAGACTCTCTCGGTGTGGTACATAGTCGGCTATTAACATTCCACTCGACCCTCTGTATGTGCGTACAAGGATTATAGTATTCCGTGATTAATATTTTATATAATATTTATTACTTATACCGACTAAAGATATAATACATTTGAGAGCTGTTCTTATATTGTACATAAAGTACAAGCGGGGCTCGGCCGTAGAACGATTTGAATGTTGCATCGATATGTGTTCTATTTTTTCAATACGGAGATGAACGATCACTTCTTAGACGGCTGAGATTTGTTTCGCAAACTAATATATATCGTGATAAATATATGACTTTTCTTTGATAGTCGGAACAATAGTCGGTAAATTGTTTTTTATTGCACCAGTGTTGCTTTCGCAGACTTATATTGGTCTTTGTGTAAAACTTGTCCGCTAAACGCATATTATTATGTTCAAACGTGTCAATGATTTTGTTTAATATTGTTTCAGGTCTATGGGCGGTGATCAATACTGCCGATCTATGCCTCAGGGGAAGAATTGAAATGCAAGAGAGCGCTCAATGGGAAACGTTGTTTAAGACAAACGTCTTTGGGACGTTTAAAGCTGCCAGGACGTTTTATCCTTTGTTGATAAGTCAAAGAGGTAAACAAAACAGTATAGAGAAAAAAAGTTACACTGTTTAACAGAGATAAAACCAGTTAAATATTTATTATTTTAAATAATATATTAGTTTATTTACTGTATGCGGTAAATAAATGTATTTTAATATAATAATATCATTAAAATAATGACCAAGTCTTCCCATGAAAATTAAATCATTCTATACATATTTCATTATATTATTTAATTAACTGTTATTCCTCTTTTAAGATTAAACTTTTTTTTATCAATAAAATGCAAAAGTTGCCTATATAAAACTCGGTAAATATTCCCGGCTTTCAATCCCCTTACGAGGCCCCGTAAATAGATCTTTGACATTTCCACCAATCCAAGTTCCCATTTCATCCGAATTTAGCTCTGAAACAATTTTTGTATATCTCATTATCTCTTGGATGAACTTGAATTGACAGAGGAGCATTTACGCGTTACAATAGTGGAGGAATAAAAAATAAAAAGTATAAAAATAGATTTCTCTTTCCTGTGCCAATATATTTACAAACTATAAAGCCTAATGTTGATCTTTAGTGAAACATTGCTCTAATAAATATGCACTTTTGTCTATCATAGTAGAGAGATGCCCCACTACGATGCACATTGCACACGTTTGATAACATATTGACTGTAATTTTTCCATAGGTCGTCTGATCAATTTTGGTACATCCAAGGGACATCCTCGTCGGCAAGGGATGACCGCGTTCGACGCTGCCCGTCACGCCGTGGTCGGTGCCAGCACTTCCTTGCAACAGGATCTTAAGGATTTGGGCGTACACGTGATTGTGGTGAACACAAACGACATTTTGCCGGAAAACCTCTTCGAACCCGTGCGATCAGCCAACGAACGAACGCTCAACGACACGACGGTGTACCTGAAACAATGCCTGCCCGATTATGCGGTGCACACCATGTTCGACGCCTTGCTCGAACCCAATCCCAAGACCGTGTATAATTTTGAAAAACCGTCGAGTTTCATGTGCGGCGGCTTCTCCAGGAGAATAACGAAACCAGAAAGCCCAGCCGGATATCAAAATATTTAAATAATAAAAATATCATGTACAACATTATTATTAAAACGACATTATACATTATTTTTTTTCCCCAACCTACCACAGAAACTACCAATAGTTTTGTATGTACATAATATTATTATAACTGTGTTCAAAAGTTGTTTTTATATTTATATATATATTATTTTAAACGGAGCCCATCCATATGTAATATTATTTATACAAGATAAAGTATATAATGACAAGTGCGTTTCGACAATATCATAATTTTCATTGTTATTTATTATTTTTGAGTTGGAAAACTTCATAATTTCGAAAACCGTTTTACTTTTAAACGCTTGTTAATCACTTATTATAACGTACCTAATATTTTATTATAACTAATATTAAAAAATAAATATACTTTTACTCGTGTTAAAACAAAACAATCCTACTTAGTAATATTTTAGAAATTGTACCACTTTTGTAATAACTGGTCTTCATGTTGCAAGTTTCCCAACTTCGAAAACTACCAAAAAAGAATGATGAAAATGATGTTTCAATTTTAATTATAACAAAATAATAATATAACAACGATAGGTCAAATCAGCATCTTAAAACTACTTCCAGAAAAACAAAAAATGTGAGACTTTCTATGAAATTAAACAGTATTTCTCTAAAATGTAAATTGTAGTTTAGAAAGGAAATAACATACCAAACGAGATGTCTGTTAAATGTTAACCACGTGTAAAAGTGTGCTGATACTTAAATTTATATTAAAATTAATTTATTTTGTTTTTCAAATATTTTGCATGTACAACACTGCAAATTTTACATGACATATTATTATGTTTGTGTTGCCTTTACTTATGGATAATATATCTTCTTTTTAATTATAAATTAGGTAAATAATAATTTACTAAATTTAACTTTTAAAATAGTCAAAATACCACCTTATCTAGATGTAATATTCTGGATAATCTGAGTGTAGTAAAAGAAAAAAGTACTAAAATGTTAATTTAGAAAAAAAGAGTCCGAACTTCATAGTTGAATAATTTATTAGTATTATAATTTTTGACACGTTATCATTTTTGAAATAAAAACCAAAACACATTTGTTCGAAGAACACAAATCTGAAACATATTTTTATTATTAACACATTTTTAAACATAATTTATCTAAAACATTACACAAATATTTTGTAAAAAATTTAACAATTTAAAATATGTTTAAAATATAATAATAAAATTAAATATTATTCATGAGTAAAACATTTTAAAAATATCAATTAGGTTAGTTTCCAGATTAGGTATAGTAATTTTACTTAACGTACTTACAAAATTTTCATCGACCCAATATTATTTTATCATTATTATTTGAGTAGAAATATGTTACACGAAAATATCCCATAACTTTAGAGACCAGATTAGGATTTAGTGAAAATAAAATTTATTTTGGTGCTTGTTATTATCATAAATAGTAGATGTATGGGAGGAATAAATGTATTTTAAATATCAACTATTAACCGCCGATATAGTGTTTAAAACAAAAATTAACACGTTTAAAAAAGTATAATAAAATAAAGCAAATTGTTATATTTTCCTTATTTGAAATACGCTTGTTTTTTAATAAGAAGAAACATAATTTTATTTTATTGGCTATAAGATAGTGGATTTTTAATAGGTAATATATTTTTTCAAGTAACGAACTAATATATAAAATAATTGTATAAAATCATGAGTTGAAATTTAATGTTACCATATTCGATGTGAGGAAAACGTTGGAGATTTAAAATTGTAAAACATCATAATTAAAGGAAATTGGCTTAGGGTAGGCAACACATTATGCATTTACGTTGATACTGATGCAGGCTTATGTATTATAGGCTTAGTGACAAACAGAATAATTTAATGAAATAATGACTTGTAGTTTCAATAATATTTTATGCTATTCAGTTCATGTTCCTCATACAGCTGTAAATTATTTTTTAGATTTAAGTATAGATAATCTTTTACTAGTATACTTTCTGATCATACACAAACGGCTTTGTAAATAACCCTATTTGTATACAAACTAAGAACCTTACATTATACATAATATTTTTTTTTTCTGAAAATTGCCAAAACGTTATTCCTTAAAAAGTAATATGTGATTTCTGTTGTATAATTATTATTTACAAAATAATTGACAATTTTTTTTAATGTTTGTAAAAATAAAAAAAGTAAATTTCACTCAATCCCCATGCGACTGTCTGCCCCGTGGGAGGTCCTGCTAAGTTTGGGTCCTTAAGTCATTTTAAAGGGATTTGGATAGGAAATAATTAGAGTGGAAGTGAGAAGATTAATTAGTGAAAAAACACTTTATTGAATTGTTTAAAAAAATGAAAAAATACTGAGTACAAATACTGACATGTTTTTAGAACATTTTAGTTCGTTCGATACACTCATGTCAAAATAAAATTCAAGAATTATCAGATTTTTATCAACTATATCCACAGCATAAAAACAAATTCATTTTTAACACTATGATTAAAAGTCTGACAGCTGAAATCCAAACAAGGTCAATTGATTATTTCGACCGACTACCATAAAAAAGATTAATAAGTTAAACAAGCATTTTGGGTTTAAAAATATATTTTATTAAAACAAAATAACGCTAAAAAAAATATTTATTTGAAAGCCACTTTTTTTATAAATGTGAATGTATTATAAGTTTTATTATCTATTTTCAATATCTACGTGTGATTGCAGTTCAATTATTTATAAATTGTAAATTAAAAGTACACTTACGAGCCTGACTGGTCCCTTGTATAGAAGACGATGGCTTGTCAAGTAATAACTTAAACTTGATAAAATCGTTTGTTTCGATATGGATGCGCTGTAAATGTTTGAAATGCCTTAGTTTTATACTATGGGTGATATAATTGCTTAAACACTCAGTTATTTACAGTGATTTATGATCAGCTTTACAGATTCAGTGCATTTAAAATTGTTACTTAAAAATGCAGCTACATCATATAAATATTATGCACTTCTAAATAACTGCAATTTACAAAATTATAAACCGAAAAACCATTTGCCTTTGTAATTACAAATTTGTATTAAAAAAATGTATAACTATAGAAAATATAATTTTACCCCAGTGGCTTTTCAAAAGGGTGAATTTAATCTACTCCCCCTTTTTTCGTTAACAGATAATAATTATAATCCATTCTGAATTTTAATACTACATTAATTCTGGAAGGCATCACTTAAACATATTTAATTTTGCTATTGATTTCCTAAAGTTAAACCAGGCTAAATAAATAAAATAATTATATATAATAAATAATAAGTAAATTATTATATCAATGATAAACTTAAAATAATATTATGAAGTTTTTTGTTTGAGTACATAGTTTTTGTACGCAGGCATATTAAATACAGTAAAGAGAGAATGATTTTTCTACGTTAAACATGCTCGTATTTGGCATAATGTAACAAGGAATTTAATTAAATTAGTCTTTAGTCATTATTTTTATGAGGTTTATTCAAAACGTTTTACTAAGATGAAAATAATACTCAAGTATAAATTTACATTCTTACACAAGTGACTTTTCATAATAAGGAAATCATTTTACATTTGAAACAACAATTTGTGGCAATTTACAATACAATGCAGTATAGTTAAACTAATTTGAAACATTATCGTGATTGGTCGTTCGACGAGATTATTTAAAGTGGTTCGGAGAAAACAGTTATTTTGGAAATGGATACTGAAATTTAAAAGTTTAATATCAATTATAAAATAGTGGGGATGGAGCATATTGGGTTGGGAATGATCACATGTCTTCAACATTTTTTATAATTTAACCACTTTCAAGTAATTGCTTTATTACGAATCTGTTGATGGTAAAAATACAACAGTCTATAATAGCATTGTAAAAGCTATAATAGTGCTTAAAATATGTCTTTTTAGTATTACTTATCAACACAACACGTTAAAGTTATAGCACAGTATAATTCTATGTTGAAAAATATGTACATTTTCTTAGTATTTTCTTCCATGTTGGTCGTTGGCCACTTGCTATCAGGCATTATTTCTGATCTATAGACTTGCCACATGAATAAATCGGTTCCGAGGTTTAGAAGATATAGTTTTTCACATTATTTAAATCGTAATCTCTAATCGGAATGTCTCGACAGCCGGGGCAGTGGTGTAATTAACTGCGCAGAATAGAACTCTTAAATCCTGATGCAAAGTATACTTAACTGCTTAGGAAAATATCAGTAAGAAATATCAATGTAGTGAAGTTCTGCGAAACGACAGCTTAGTTGTTATTAATACAAGGATTTATTTATACGTTTATCTGTGTGATTTAGTGTATAAGTAGGTATATAATGTGTGTGTGTGTGTGTATTGCTACAAGTAAATAACGTCCGTGTCTTCAGATATTTGCTGACTGTGTTGGTGGGGGATTTACTAGCGTCAGATACACTAGGTGACCCGCGAACTCGGGCTTGGTTCGAATTCGATTTTAATTCCATTTTCGTTCCGGATCTGTTGTCAGCTGAACACATTTCAGAGGACAAACGATATGAATTATTGGAGCTGAGTAAAGTATACAATAAAAACAGGTAATATCAAATTATGTTTCTATATTGTTATCGTTAAGAGGACGCTACCCACTTGTAATTTATTCGCAAAAAACGGTTTTGAGGGGTACAAGAATATGAGGGCGGTATTGACAGTAACCAGAATATAACATGTTTACAATGGACAGAGAAGAACTTTATCTACGGTGTAGCGTTTTATGTTTTTTCTCGAAATATTCGATTTTTTTATTTGCATATATAAAAAAAAATTAAGTATAGATATCAAAAAATAAAATTAAAACGCTACCCCATAGATTAAGTTCTTCTATATATAATATTGTGAAAATTTTTTGGCAGTTAATTCAGTAGCTAGAACTAATTACCAACACTGTTTGGCTCCTTTTTACAAGTCTGTAGTCACTAATACATATATATATATATATATATATATTATTTGTTTTTCTCTTCTTCCTGTGTAATTACATTAACTTATTGTAAAACTGTTTTTTTACAGATTGTTCATTTACTAATAATAAAAATTTTAAAAATTCAGTAGTACTTTGTATGCAAATACTAGGCTAACGTACCTTGTGAACTTGGGTGGTAACATTGTAATTGGTCGTTAATAGGTGTTTAAAAACATATCATTGTTTTTAGTAAGGATTTAATATTGAAGTCCTTTCTAAATAACCAAATGGTTTTTGTTAAACGCGTACACACGACGGAGGAATAGAACATATTTTTTGTTTTAAATATTAGCTAAAATGTTTTTTACTAAAAACATTATTGCGATGACGGTGCTTGCCGGCATATTTTTGCACACATAACCTTTTAAAAAAAAACTGGTTATTATGGAATTTTCGTGAACGCTACTCGCGTAGGCCTGCAGTTCTGTGTTGACGGTGAAAGGTCATTAAACCGACAAAGTTTGATCTAAGTTGTAGGTGCCAGCTCGGTTTCCGGAGACTTTGATGAGAGTCCTTGATCGATGAACGCGTTACAGGCACGTGTCTTTTACATACGTTATTATACCTAAAAATAATGTCTTAGGAATGCTTTGCCACGATCAATGGGTGCCATCCGCTGCAATCCAAACGAATTAACAATTATTACAACGTCCTTCGAATGGACACTGACATTGACACGGGAAACATTTATCATATCGTATATTATGCTTCTGTTATTTTTTTTTTTTTTTGTAAGTTTTCACCGTGCACAACTCCTCTTGTAGTTTTACACAACCTGACTAGACAGATCGTCCGTACGCGTACCGTGTGGCGGTTATTATGTAAGACACTGGCAGTAACAAAGTCACATACAAATTTTTGCAATACTTAATTCGTTTACGGTAATGAAACACGAGTCAAAGACCTCGTGTTTCACGAGGACTTTTTTAGCATAATTATAAAAACTTGCATTGACCCGGCAGAAGACGTTTATCTCTACTTGGATATGTGAGGCGGCCACAATCGATACATAATTAGATACGTTCATACAGGTGTCAGTTATACCTAATATTGACCGTGTGCAAACATTTTAGCCAATGTTGTATTGGCGGTAGGTACTCCTTATTTAACATGTCCGGTCACACCGGGTAAGATATTATCAGATCTATTAGTGTAAAACGCCGGCGGGGAACGAGCACAATCCGATTGCTGGGATTTGACGATACAAAACAGTTTTACAGTTTACTATCATAATAAAACACATTTACATTTAAAGGTTTTACTACGTTGAAACGCGCATTCCGACGAGTTGCGGTTTGTCCGTCGTGTGTTGTTTTTGCCAGGCGAGCACATAATATTGCTTACGGTATACAATATTATAATATTAAAAAAAAAATCCATATAAATATCTATACACATCGCTTCGCAAAAAAAACCACTATTGAGATCGCGACTATACTTGATTTTACACATTAAATAAGTTATAAATAATATCGATTCGCGTTAAAATTGGTTAAAATTGTATTTATACATTTGGCAATGGCCCGACCGACTTGAAATATTATCATGCTAATCCAAAAGATATTTGTCAAAGCCGATTAATCATAAGACTAATAGTAAAATAATTTTAATGGAATTATCATAATACTAATATAAATAGGAATTAAAATCCTGTAACTCGAAACGATTTATAACTAGTTAACCGACAAATGCTTCAAAATATAAAGCCAACTCATCTATCAAATGATTTCTTAAGAGAACACTGTACATTGTGTTATATAATAGGTAATTATAAATATTTAATTTTTTAGTTCAGTAAAAGTTGCTTAAAAAATTGTTTGTATGAAAATTACCAGCATATAAAATTAATTAATAACGCTACTCACTTAAATAATAAAAATCGTGTAAAGCTAATGCTATAGACCTTAATAGATTAAAATGTTGGATATTTTAATAAAAAAAAATTATAAATAGTTTTTCAATGATAGAAAAAATCCTAGCATTTTCTCCATTTTTTATAAAATATCTTTAAACATCAAGCAGAATCAGAACTGGATTCCTGGAAGCTAAAGAGGGCGGCTTTCAATTAATGTGTACTCACGTGATAGCTGTTGGATAATGAACGCACTTAAGCAAATACTATAAATGATAATACCGTAATACCGTGAAGTCAATGTTATTTGTATTGACTCTGAATTTCCCCCCCCCCCCTATAACAGTGTTTCCCAAATCAAAATAGCATTATTCTGAAACAATGTATACAATGCAAATTGAAACTTTACATAGGCTTATCAAGTATAAATTATTATCATACGTATTATGCATACGGTAAATTGTATCACAATATATGGCTACACTAATGTTGGGGGGGGGGGGGCGAAAGTGAGCTCCTAAAAAGACCTTGCCTTCCGGTATTATCGTTTATAGTATTTGACATAAGTCATATTTCATTTCATCTCTCTGTGTTTTTTTTTAATACATCAATTGTCAGTTGATAAAAAAATAATAACTACGTGTGTGGATAAGTATATAGGTACAATATTATTTGATATTAGAAAAAAAAATACATATATTGAACAGTAACTCATCAACAGATCAAAAAAAAAAAAAAGGCACTAGATGTTCATAATAATAATAATAATTGTAAACGGTTTCGTCATGCATTTCATACATGCATCTGTGTTTTGTTGTCGAGTAATAGCTGAAGACGGATACGTGCGCGTTATGATTTGTTTTTTTTTTTTTACTAACATACAGAAAACCCATTCTTTGGTTTGCTACGTGAATAGCTGCAAGGTCGACGAAAGCGCGAACATTACTCAACCGGCGTCTCATTTTTTAGGTGCACCTCTTTTGTAGGCTTTTATTATTTTTAGGGAAAACTTTTACTTTTGCACTCATTACGCATACCGATCACGTGTGCTCTTTTTCTTTTTTTGACTAGCGTTACGCGATTATTAAGCTTTATTGAAACCATCGTGTTTATTAGGTGGTCGCTGGCCAGAACCAGTGCATTCGGTGTGCAGACTCAGAAGAGGAAAAACGTGGACGCGCCAATTGTAGCGGCAACATGACAGCACTTCATCTAAACGTAAGTGTGCTTTTTGTTAGTGGACCTAACCGCCTTAATGGCTGTACGTCGAGAGACGACCGACGTAGGTACAACCGCGACTTAAGTGTTTTAGAATTCCTCACTTTTAGGCTTGCATTGACCAAAATTCTGTGCGTGCAACTTTATACCGTGTGGACTGTGTAAATAAATAACAAATAATCTAAAGATAATTTGATAAATTAAGATTGATTTTCAATAACCGTCCCGATTCCGCCCAAGTGATGTACCTACTTACTCGTTATTGAAATGATATATTATTTTTTATTTTGCAATGCACAGAGAACGTTGTTCCGGGCCGTGGGAATACTGATCATCTCCACGGCGGCGTGCTGGGGATCCGATCCCCCGAAAACGTACGGTCCTCCGCCCAGTGACTATTCGTATCACGGATACGAACCGGAAATGCAGCAGAGGCCATTAGCCGTGTTCACCGAGCGGCCGGTCAACGTGGCCGGTTTCATTTTGGTTCCCGTGGTACAAGTGCCGTCTGCAGACCTGAGAATGGTGTACCGGCCGCAAATCGACAGCGTGTCCAAAACGGAACCGGTGGTTATGTGCAAATCGTCGACAAAATCGTTTGTAAGTAATAATTGTAAAAAAAACAAAACCGCAGAAAATTGTTGCTATCTATACTTAAAGTATAGATCTATCCACCAACTTAGTACGTGTTATACCGTTGTCCTGCTGGCTCGTTTCTGAAATTTATGAACGTTTGTTCGAGTATCGGACAAAATAATATATTATTATTCCCTGTACTCTCGACAACTCCAACTAGAACGATTCAGTCTTATCTTGCTCGGTGCTGTCAATTTTAATAGTTTCCAGCGGGCGCTGCTCACCTCATTTATTAAAAAGTAAAATATAGAGAATTTTTTCGCATAATCTTAAATAAGACCTTAAACAATAGTGTATACTTATTAACACACCAATTACGAATATTAATCGGTTGACATATATATATATATATATATATTTTTTTTTTGTCAAACTATCATAACCATTTATATAGGAAAAATTATAATTTTCGTCTGTCAAAATAGATTTGTGCCAATCAAAACCTTGGCGTTTTTCAATTGTCGATAACTCGATTCACAATTACTAATCATTTTCGTGAAAAATACTAAAAAAATGTATAGAAACCGAATTACTCGATCTATCAGAAAATTGCCATGCTTAAGCACAGATAATATTCTCCTCTATTTTGCTATACAAATTTGGTGAATTTAGTTAGTACTATCACAGCCTCAAATTTCATTTACCCAACCCCTAATTTATACATATAAATTAGAACAGGTAATTAACATTGTATCGTCCAATCCAAAAGTTAAACGACTCCCTTAAAAGTCATCAAAAGCAGAGATTTTGCTTTTCAAATTAAAATAAACTTCGAGGCTGAAAAAATATTTATAATGTACAAAAAAGCTTTAACTCTTCGTTAATCGGGTGGTAGTCACACTGTGCTCAGGTAAGAAATGTACTACGCCAACCACACTTTATTTAAGTGTGGCCGAAAATCAGGTAACTAACGGAGGGTTAATAAAAATTTAATTTTTTAGTAGATATTCGATTACTAATGCATTTTTTTCTTATAATAAATTTAATATTTTACCCTAAAAAATAAACTCCATAATATAAATCTTTTAAATGTTAGGGTTTAGAGAAGCCTAAGAAAGCGTGAGTAGATATTTTACACCAAGACGAAATCAAATTAGTTTGCAGAACTATATACTGTAATTGAAAGTACGTAGAATATGAATTGTAGTCAAAGAAAGTTATCCATCAGGAAATGCATATTTTAATGTTTTCATTTCCATCGCCTGAAAAAAATACTTACTTTTTTAGCAGCATTGTTTTGTGAACAAATAAACTCACGTGCAATTAGCCAGGTCTGTAACACATTAACAATAACTGTTGACTTCTAAGCGAGTTCACGAAATAATTATTCTTTTATGTTCAACATTTAAATATCCATTGAAAAAAATTGCTTTCGATACCTAATTTATTTGCTCTAGAAATTTTAAAACGAAAGTTAACAACAATAATTACGATACTTCACATGTAAACGAATGGGATTGATAGTATTTTAAAACACTGTCTGAGGCCTAGGTTTAAACTTAGACTTCATTGTATTGGAATTTCTTAAGAGTCCCTGTGCCGGTTGTATAATATATTTAACATGTACGGACAATATTTTACAAAGAATTGGTTTTAAACAATTTTGACCGTGTCCACTTTACTTTCATGTTCATTTGTATTGGTTTAAGAATAAATTGTTAATGCTAAACATTTTTTCATAGCAATTTTGGGAGTGAATTAGGAGTAATAACATAATGAATTGTAAATATATTGGATTTGGTAAAATACAATGGGCCAATTTTTATTTTTATTTTTTTTTAAATGTATAGAATTCAACGTTGTTTATAACTGCGTATAGGAATTGAATTTTCAGCAAAACTAGGCCATTTTGTTTTATTTTACTAAAACGTATGTATGTACTAGTTGTTTTTATTTTTCTTATTATTATTTTGTTTTTAGGAAGCGACACCAGCAATTCAAGTGCCACTTCAAGAACCGTTTTATCTGTACGACGAAAGAACAATGATACCGTTCCCGAAGACAGTAACCATCCTTCACGGTGGTTATCGAATGTCAATACCCGTTGGCGTGGTCGTAGCACCGGTACCCGTGGGAGCTCTCAGAGCTGGCCCGGTGTTTGTCACTACATTGTATGCAATTCCTACAGAGCCTCTGCCATTGCCGCCGTTGCAACCTGTTAGGTAGGTTGATGCTGAGAACACCCGCGGACTTTGCTCCAGTAAATTACAAATTAATTAACAGCGACCGCCCAGTAATAACATAATATTACTCACTAAGCGCATGTCGATTAGCGTGTAAGCACACACAGAGTTAATGATCTCTATATGCACCTGCATGCGTTTATTTACCACCGGAGTAGTTTAGTACAGACTAAACATGATAATAGTATGTATTTAACTAGCAAAGCAATTCTGGCGTTTACGAGAACCGGATTTAAACTTCTATGATGTCTACCTAGGTTAGACAAAAATCAAAAGGCTCCCACGCTATAATTACACTCATACGTTAAAAACAAACTTTTTTAATTATTTCACAATATTCCATAATTATTGGAGAAAAAACACTTAAAACAGCTGTTAATACTAAATATGCAAGAATGAATATTAACATAAATATAATATTACAAAATAAACGTTTATGATAATATATACCTAAATTTATAATCAAACATATCAGTCTTGCATTATAACAGTGATGGTTCTTAGTACGTTTTTTGTTTCGAAAGATCTTACCAGTACATTATTATATACTTAATTTCCTGGAGTTTAAAAAAATTCAAAACCACACATCTTTATAATTCGTTATTATTTTTTTTTTACTCTAAAACAATTGCGGATTGTATAAAAAGTAGCTTTGTTTTGATTAAGAAAAAATATTTGATAATGTATAAATATTATAATAATAATGTTTGATAATAAAATTAACTTCCCAATTATTCTTTATAAAGAAACTGTCATAATCAATGATAAAAAAAAAGTGATAACCAAATTTTTTTAATTCAAATGATTGTATAAAAACTATTGTTGAAATTGGTTTCCGTCACTTTAAATTTAGTTAAATTAATGTTAGATCGGGCCTACACTATTAAATGTACCTACACAATAGTTTGGTAATAGTTACCGAATATTAAGCAGCACAGTTTGTAAAATAAAATTCAAATCCCTGGGGTAATGTTGTCAGCATTTTTTTTTTTATTCTCGGGGTCGGTTAACGGTTTCTTAATTATAAAAAAAATCTTGTTTTTTTTAAAAGTATTATCAATATGTTCTAAGTACTGTTCTTTATCTCCTAGATACACACCTTGGAATTACTACCCGGCACCGACTCCGTTACTGTCGACGTCAGCGCCATCACCACCTCCGCCGGCACCCCCTCAATACTTGGCCAACCCCCCAGCACCAGCACAGTACATGTCACCACCTCCACCCCAGTACTTGTCCGTGCCCCCTTCGCCGTTATACTATCAGCACGCGGCACAGCCTGAGGGCGACAGCCCCGATGACCTCCGAAACAGAGAACCGCCGAACAAAGCATATGCGCAACCGCAGTCGTCGGCCAACACTTTCCACAATTCAAAAGAGTCACCGATATTGAACCAGTTAAGAGAAGAATCGGAAAAAAATAGAAAAAAGTACCCAGCGCCTTTGTATTCTAATTATCATGCGATTGATTCGCAGTGAAAAAGAATGTGAAATTTGTACTTTTTTTTATTTTACCAAAAATTTTAATTTTATACTTTGTGATGAGAAAAAAAATGTATACATATTTATTATAATGTAATACACGATAATTTTACAAACACATGTATGTATTATGATATTTATTACACTTTGCCTTCGTGAATGGCTTACCTATGTATTTTATACCAAACCAATTATCACAATAAATTTCAATATTTGGTTATTAAATTGTAACATTTTGGTCAAAATAACAACTAAACTAATTTTTGATTAAATAGTAATTCCATGAATAATACGCCAAGTGTTATAGTTATTATCATTTAGAAATTATTATAATTTACGAACACTTGAATTATTATTCTATTTAAAATTATAAAGACAAGAAATCAATAACATTGTTTGAAACAGTTAACAAAACAATGTAATTTCATTACCGAGTAACGAGGTAAATTGTAAATAATCGAAAGTCTTTTAGTATTCAGCACGCGCAAATTGGTGTATAACTAATAATAAAAGATACGTCACAAACTTCAAATAAGCCTTTAACAATATTGTGTATATTATACTTGTATACTTAAAAAACGGACAGTTTATTATATTTGTATCCGACTTTGTTTGTTTGCTACCACTTTCTTCTTCAAACCTAATATGGATGTGTATGAAATAAAATGACCTAATACCGAATTAAAATGTCATGTCTCGTTCAGTAATGTTTCTTTTACAATTTCACTTATTGTAAATATATAAAATGTAAAAGCCCCACCGCAATAAATCAGATTTATAATATTTCTTAAGCACAATAAAATGGAACATCAATATAACTGACAGTATAGTAGTCGGGTCGGGTGTCCAGGAATGTGTTTATCATTCTAAACTTCTGTAAATGGTTAAATAAGTATTGTTTAATTCTCTTAAATCTAGAGTACTCTACTTGTCAGTAGAGTGTATCTGTAATTTAGATTACAAAGACCCTATACCGATCGATACACACTGTATTCTTCGCTAACAAGATGTAAATTAATTTATTCTTTTTCATTATTTAAGTTGTATACAAATAATTATTTTATATGACTTTTGTTTATTAGAATACAAAGTTAAATTGTGCGAAATTCACATTTAAAAAAACGTAAAAATGCAACTTGCAAACCTAATAGTTAAATTACATTGTATGACACTATGACTCACCACAATTATTATAATATAATACTAATTGATATTCTACATTTAGTTAATTTACGATTGCTGTTTACTTGAATTAAATGTATTGATATTTTATAATTTGTTTTTAAAAATTGTATTAAATGCATATAATCCCATAACTGTCAAAATACTGTAACAATTAATAAATTGATAACAATAGATAAACTTTTTATACCTTATTATTGTTAAAAAGTTCTTTAGGTCGACTTTGAAGAATAGTAATAGTTACATATGAGTTATAAATCAATATTATTTATTTTTTGGTTTTATTAAAAATAATATGTATCAAGTAAATTAAATATTGGACACACTTAAAATACATAATTATAATTATAACACGTTGTTTACATACAAAATCAACAACAAATAATAATAATAATAATAATATATAAACAATAGAAGTCTGACTGTGCAGCCTAGGAAATTAGGCTAAAATTGATCGGTCACAAGTTTACCTGAAACAAAAAAAAAAATTAGTAAAAATATTAAATAGAGAAATAATTCAACGTGTCTTTACGATTTTAGTAAGCAAATAAATAATTTAGGTAATATTTTAATAAAAATGCATCATACAAGTAGTAAATTTCATCATTTACCATAATAATGCGTAAGTGATGATTTAAAACTTTATTTAAAAGAACGTTGTTTAGAATCCTTATAAATTTATTATATATATATATTTAAAATTTACCAAAATTTAAAATTTTTTGTAACCGTTGCTGGACGACGATGGTGGTCCATAGGAGGAACCAAGTCCGGAGCTGTAACTTCCTGAAGGAGAGCTGGAGTAGTCAGATGACGATGACGAGTACGATGAAGACGGTGAAGAGTAAGAAGAGTAGGATGAAGACGGCGAAGAGTAAGACGAGGAGCTGGGTGCAGAGTAAGACGAGGAACTGGGTGCAGAGTATGAAGACGAGCCAGAGTATGATGAGGATGGGGATGAGTATGACGAGGATGGTGCAGAGTAAGATGATGAAGAGTACGACGAGGATGGTGCAGAGTAAGATGAAGATGGTGCAGAGTATGATGATGAAGAGTATGACGAGGAAGGTGCCGAGTATGATGAAGAGTCATAAGACGACGAAGAGTAGGATGGAGAGCCTAAAGAAATGCTGGATTCGGGGGCGGCAATAGATTCAGAAGAGATAGCTGGGGAACTGTAAGATTCAGAGGCGATAGCGGGAGCAGCGTAGGATTCAGATCCGTAAGATGATGCGTAGGCTGGTGCGGCGGAAGCGTAGCCAACAGCTGGTGCAGCGGCGGCGTAGCCAACAGCCGGTGCAGCGGCGGCGTAGCCAACAGCCGGTGCAGCGGCGGCGTAGCTAACAGCCGGTGCAGCGGCGGCGTAGCCAACAGCCGGTGCAGCGGCGGCGTAGCCAATGGCTGGTGCGGCCGCGGCGTACGTGGGAGCAGGGACGGCAACCGGAGCTGGGACCGGAGCGATGACTGGGGTCGGCACGGCGTATGGTACAGCTTGTTGGATTTCGACGGGGTATGGTTGTGGCACTGCGTATGGCACGGCTCGGTTAACGTTGTATGGCACTGGATGAGGAACGCTGACTGGTACGCGACGCGGTACGTCCACTGGGTACGGTCTGTTGACGGTGACCGGCACCGGGTGAGGTACGCTTACTGGAACAGCCCTAGGTACGGACACCGGCACTGGGTGAGGAACGGAAACTGGGATATGACGAGTTACTGGTACGGCGTACGGTTGTGGCACGGAAACGGAGTAAATGCTGTTGGATGTGCTCACTCTGGTAGGCACGGCCGAGGAGTAACCGATAGACGGGGCAGCGTAGCCGATAGCTGGGGCGGCCGCGGCATAGCCGTATCCGGCTGAAGCTCCAATTCCGTAACCGAGAGAAGAGCCGATACCGTAACCAGCCGACGAGCCGATACCGTAACCGGCCGAAGAGCCAATTCCATATCCGAGCGAGGAGCCATATCCAAGTGAAGATCCGTAACCGAGAGAGGAGCTGTATCCGGAAATACCACCGATGCCTGGTGAGTACGAGGGAAGACCTGAACCGTATCCGGACAGACCGTAAGATGATCCAGAAAGTCCTAACCCGGAATAAGACGAGGAAGCACTTCTTTTGTTGTTTGGTTTGTTTTCAGTTTTGGCATCGTCGGCGGCTATGCAGTGGGCGACTAACGCCAATCCAACTAAACTAGCCTAAAACATTGTACAATAATTAATATAAAAATATTACTCTAAATAACTAAGATATATTTTTTTAATCTTATAGTTGTTTTGCTGATGATATTTATTGTAAAATTGTTTTTTTTAATGTCTCAAAATAAAATATTTTTAGAGTCGAAAAAATTACTAAAATTGATATTCAATGGGTAATGATAACGTTTGAATGTATTTACCTTAAAGAACTTCATGTTGATGTAGTCGATTTGGTTGTCACAGACAAGACTGGATGCCAAACAGCGGTTCTCCTGGGTTTTTATAATTCTGCTTAGATTCCGGTATTGTTTTTTTTTTCACTCGACAATCCCCCCTGATTTTGTTAATCGACAATGATCATCCACATAGCACTTTCTCCGCGACAGAATATGCGTTTGCTGTGATTGCATCATGGCAGGGTGGTCAGTTTTGAACAGGACCAGTTTTTGCGATTAGCCGTATTTTATTTCGAAGATGTCACCCGTTGGTATCTGAAATTGTGTAATCGTAGACATCAAAATACCAACACCCGTCTTTAGCTCCTTATTTGTGCAACGAGTCAATTGAAATATATTATACATAATACATTTTCTATTAATTGGCTCATCGAAAACAAATATAGGAAGTGCATGCTATAAAAAAAAAATGGTCAGAACGCATTAAATTACGGAAGTTGTAAAATTATTTTCTGTATCTGGTTACCTATATAAAAATGTTTGTATAACTGAGAGGCGAATGCCACTTCAATGTTTTCACTAATATAATTTATATTAAACTGTTTGAATGATTTTAATGCTATAGAAGCGAGAATGTGTTTTTTTAACACGGCAATCTTGCCAATGGATGTTGTCAAGTTAATAGATGCTAATGTAATAAACCAGTCGTGATAAACATTTAAACTAAAGCTGGAAGCGCTTGAAAGATACTGAAAAACAATTCACAGTGACGAGGCGCTGAATTTTATACTTTTATGTGAAGCAAAGTCTAAATTATAATAAACGACCCCTACCGTTAAACTTTTTTTTCACCTTTTAACCTACAAAAGCGTGGTTTTCCTTATAAAATTCCCACCCATATTATTATATGAAGCGGTCGCTTCAGTTCAGATACATAATGTGTGCTTTGGCGCCACTAATGTCAGTAAATTGATACTTTAAACGGACAAGAATGTTGAGTCCAATCATTACTGTTCCTTAAGTGTATCACAAAATTCTTTAACGCTGCTGCGTTTTAATACAGTAATTCCAGTTATCCAATTAGCGGTCTGGTTAAGAAAGGTATGTCGTATAATTTTTTTTTTTCTAATTGCTTCATGACCATTGCAAGTGTGTGGTTCTTATTTTTTTGGGGACGTAAAATAATAGTGAAACATGGTAGATCACCGACCGGTTTTATGTCGGCTTAAGAAATTGAATAATATTTATAGCGAAATAAATTTAAAAAACATAGATGTGAAAGTTCAAGTATATTATTACTATAGTGGTAATAATATATAAATCCGTATATGATGTCTAGAAAGTAATTCATTTCTGTATTATGCGGATTCGGCCGTCGCCATAAAAATAAAAACGCATTCCGTAAAACCAACACTTACTATATATCGCGTCCGAAGTGACATTGGTATAAAAACATCATTTGAATAATATTGACTAGGTATAATAGTCAATATAAGTATTTAGCGTTTACATTGGTGTGGATGCCGACCGATCGTTTCTATACATATATGGTGTAATATCGCTTCGATTGATGGCTTGTTATTGTAGATTAACAAACATTTAAGTAAAAAATAGATTATTTACTGTTGTATTTATTCGGATTTCGTTAAAACCCACATTTATCCAATAGTCGTCGGGTAAACTATATTTTAGTTTAATAGTAGTTGATTAAATAACGAAGAAACCGTTTAAACATTTCAAACGTCACTATCGAGTGTGCGGGTAATTAAAAAATATTGCGTTTCGTCTGAACCAAATCGGATATAGTGACATGTAATACACACACGTGGTCGTATTATGCTTACATATTATTTATATTATTATTTAGGCTCGACGCGAAAGGGAGAAACGGTAAAAAACTAACCATTTACACTTAAGTTATGACAATTTTGGCGGAACCGGTGACATTACAGGCTACTGTCATACTATATCATACTTAAATATTATACCGGTCTTCGGCACCGGCGTCCATCATGCACTCCGGCCGGTCGATACGGATGTCGGTGAACTTGTTTCCTTTTTACATAACCACATAACGATTCCCATGAATATAATATATATGCGTTACATTAATACGGTGTGTTATGTGTTATGTTTGTGGGTTTTTTTTTCTTATGAAATTGTGCAATTATGTCATTTTGTTCGGTGTCCATTGAAAAACGGTTCCGGCGCGCCCATTCGGTAGTATGGTTTTATTTTGTAAAGAAACATCTTCATCTCAAAATTACTTACAGTCTATTCGTAGTGTTTGATATTTAGCTTTTGTTCTCGACAAGAACCTAAAGATGGAACCTACACGTTAATAATAGTTAAGTAACGCACGTTAGTTATGCGTTTACCATATGACTTAAATTACAAGCCAAAAAAGGATAATATTTAAAAAGGGACACCAAAATGTCTCTCTCTCTCTCTGTACTCTACTTGCAATTAATTATCAACTTATGTAGATGTTATATAGATCATCAGTATTGGCCTGACTCTGTCCAACTTGGATTAAGACAGAGATGGATTAATTAAATTAATCATCCGGGTCAGGGCTTCTAAGATAAAACAACAAGTTCTACAAGAAAAGACCATTCCCGGAATGACTGGAACTTTATATGAAACGACAAATAGCCGAGCCAAACTGGACTAGAATCGTTTGCCACAGCATTAGAGGTCAATTGCTGCTATCAAGTTAAATACTATGACTTCATCTTTATAATTCAGTCATTTTTCCAGTTACTTAACAATATTTGAAAAAAATGCATTTTTCCAATTCGTCAATTGTTATAATATCATATTATATTACTGCTAAATAGTATTTAAGCAATATCAGCAAGTAAATGAAGTGGATTTTGGCAATAAATACAAAATTAAATACTTAGAATTTAAATTTCTATCTACAATGAATACTGGTTCAGTTATAAACAAAATAAAATGTTGCACATTCAAGTATTTAATATTCATATTATACATTTATAATTAATCATGTATTATTAATTATAATATACTATGGAATCTATTGTAGTCAGTAGAGGCATTATTAATTATTTTATTTTTGTCAACATTACACAATTAATTTTTTTTACACGCATAATTCATAATAAAATATATATGTACTTTATATATGCGTGTCGTTACTGTGATCTTTAAAATATTTGTTTACACATTTTAGTTAATTTGGTAATCATTTCATATAAAAACGATGTGAAAATATTAAGTAAGCGTATAAAGCAAATGATAATATTTTTATTCATAACATTTTTTTTCAATAAGAAATAGGTACAACAACAAAAATAAGACATCGAAAGTAAATACAAAAAAAACTATAAGGCCATAGAAGAAACACAAAATGAGGGCTCTCAGAAAAAATATATAATTAGCAGTTGCCTAATAAGTACAGCACAATAAGATTTCCAGACATATGTTTGTGTAGATCTTGTTTAGAGATTGGAAAAAATCGAATGTTAATGGAAATACTGGTTTAAAATCACAAATTTCATAAACATTGATATTTAAAAAGTATAAGCGATTAAGCAATTACTTATTATTGCATAGATATTAGTCCAAGATGTGCAGTTTAATTTTTTCTTTAATAAAAGATGGCTATCATTTCTCTATAGCGTAAACAATAATAAACTGTTGATTTTTGAAATGTTAAAAACATAATTCTTATATTAGGCAAGTTTATTTAAATAGCTTACAGTAAATTATAGAAGTGTGTCAACTAGTGGTATCATAATAATATTAACATTTTAACGATGGGTTAGGAGCCATTAGAAGCCGTACGATCGACCTCCATTCTTACCGTTTGATTTTAAATGATTAAAAATGAATTATCGCTGACAACGCAATTTATTTAAGTGTTATTAAATAACAGAGTTAGGTATTGTGTTTATGCTGCGCTGGTCTACTTGCGTGTAAACATTGCAGACATACATCGGTTTAGTTTTCCGTTGGGTTTGGTCCGAGCCTGACGTATATGTCAATAATAATTATTATTATTATAATAATTGTGTGTGCGCGCGCGCGCGCGTTAATTATATTATTATTTATTCAAGTAAATGGCGGTAAAACGAAAACCCGCCTATCTTACGTTGGCGGAAAAAGTGAGTTTGATCAAACAGGTCGAGAGGAATCCTAAGAAAAAACACAGTATCGCCATCAAATTCGGCTTGACCAAAAGTGCTTTGACCGGGTTGTTGAAAGCCAAGTGTACGGTTCTGAACAATTTCCAGTTGTTCGGTGCCGGAGCTAAGTCGGTCGAACCCAAAACGACGCCGAAAGCTGCTGCTGCTCGTCTTTGCGGTAAAGATGAATCGCGGACCAAAACTGTTCCGTCGGATGAAACCTGTGGGAAACTTTCCAAGCGGTTTGTGCAGAAAAATTTAACTTTCAGCTTAGACGGACAAACAGAATCGTCTCTCGTGCCCATTCGTAAGAATTCTGAAGTGGGGTCCACTCCGGTACAAATCGCATCCGTCCTGGACGACTATTGTCCCAGCGATATTTTTGCCGCCTTTGAATTCGGACTGTTCTACAAGTGTCTTCCCGACGAAGCTGCCGCGTTGAGAGGTCAACAGTGCGAAGACGGCAGCCGGAGCCGAGAACGTGTAACCATATTGATTTGCGCCAACTTCAAAGGCGACGAGAAGCTCAAGCCTTTGGTCGTGGGCTTCGAAGACACGGCGCCCGGGTGTTACGAACGGCTGCCCGTCACGTACGGTGTCGACGAAAGAGCGTGGATGACCGATTCGCTGTTCGAACGTTGGCTGACGGACTTGGACCGGAAAATGCAAGCGGAAAAACGAAAAATCCTTTTGCTAATCAACGGCCCTGGTCAGGCTTGTCCTGTTCCGGAATTGCGAGCGGTAAACGTCCGGTTTTCCCATGGACGGTCTCGCGGCCGGAATATCGTCGTTAGGCATTTCAAAACGGCGTACAGAAAAGAGGTAGTGCGACAAATCGTTCGTCAACGAGGTCGGTCGCCGGCCATCGACCTAGACCAAGCCTTGCGGTATATCGCCAAATCGTGGAGAGCAGTTGCGCCCAAAACGATCAGGGAATGCCTACGGAGCACCTGGTCCGACAACCCGGCCGGAGACGGAAACGAACGACACTCGTTGTGGTCGGCCATTGTTAAAAAATACCACTTGAACATAAGAGAAACTTTCGGTGCGTACGTTCAAGTCGACGACGACCTGGCCGTTAGGCTCACCAACGTTACACGTGTAAGAGAATGCAGCCCAAGAGATGTGGGTGTGGACACTCTGGAGTCCGGAAAAAACACCACTACCAGCGTTCTTGGTGCTCTAGATACACTTAAACGTTTTATCCAACTCAACAAAGGTGAGTTGAATTTGTATTTTCTTCGAAAAAACTATTAGTAATACGAAGACTTTTTTTATATAATATTATATTACTATGTATAAGATTAAGGTGATCGTTTTTAAGAAGAACACCCTAATAACAGCTTTTTTGTAACTTTTTTTGTAACTGACAGCATGTATGTTTCTTGTTATCAGGCATATCGTCAAGCTACTTTGAAGCCCTAGCAGCCTTAGAGAACGTTATAAACGATAATGTGAAGAGAAAAAGAAGTAAAGAAAACCTTCAAACAACAATAACAGATTTCTTTGTATTAAATAAAACACTATAATTAACACGTTAATTTTATGTTGATAATAATCATCACGTCCGAAATGGTGAGAACTGTTATTAATTATAATTATATTTTTGTTTTCTTTAAGAGACATGTAGCCTGTAGGTGTAATAATTATTCATTATACTTTATTGAGCAATCTTTTCAATGTTAAGTCTACTATACAACCTAATAATGCTATACCTACTACATTGTAAATTATAGTAAACATTGTATCTAAGTGTACACACCGTATTATAGCCTAAAGGTACACTCGATTGATTTATAATCGAAGTGATTTATAATAATTGAATTATGGCTATTTTTTAAGTATACCACACTGATATTGTCAACATGCTATATATATGCCGTTATTGTAATTATTGAAAACCTTAGTGTATTTTATTATGTAGACACATCACACAATAATACAACCGTTATGAATACTTTTCCCGAATAAAATAAACGTGACCAAAACTCCTAACAATATAACAGATAATTACTTCTTTAAGTATTTCTAAATGAACATTAACTCATAATAATTATTCTCACCTAATTTTAGAAACGATTGTAAATTAAGAAAATTGTAACTAGCTAATAGTCGATTTATTTGCCTTAAGTTTTATACAATGTATTATGTATTAAGCCAGTATTTTACTAATAACTGCTCTGAATAAAAACAAAACATACTTTTCCGCACTAATCAGCACTAAAAAAATAATTGTATACAGTATATTCTATAAGACTAATAAGTCATAACAAACTAAATATCTCTGCGGCAAATCAATATTTTTATAGTTGGTGTTTTCATTGTTTATAAATAAGTCATAACCAACGCCTAGTTAAACAACTATTTTTAAATTCCATACCTATACTGACTAAAGTGTTTTTTTTAGATTAAAATATCTAAGACATTATACTTTTTACAATTTATATGGTAATTCTATAAACAAAAATTTTAATCTAACAAAATTTGTAGAACACAAGTAGATTCAAGTTGTGAATGTGTTAAGCAATTTGTTAAGAAATCTGAAAACAAACATGAGTGTGTCATAAAATTTACTACTTGAAATCAGTAAAGGCCATCTGTCATCTATAATCATAGAAAAAATTATGATTTCCTGCAAATACGTACGGTGTGTATCTTTGTGATACACTGTATTTACTTTTAATATGTCGTTAGCACTATATTGGCGTATTACAACATAAAAATATACAAGTTTAACGTTTATAGATAATCTATTTAATTATTCTATTCATACTAAATAAACATATTTACTTTTATCATAAAATTATGAGTTTACATGTAATATAACATTAAATATTTAATTTACTTCCTACGGAAGTCAATAGAATTGCCAGTTTATTATGTATCGCGCAACATTAACTAGAATAACGGCCAATAAAAAAAAATCCAGTTTTTCTATTTTCTCTTGTAGATACTCTATAGTTTGCATATGGATAATTTGTCTTGCATAAATTAACTATAACATACAAACAAAATAAAATATTAATTATACATTTTTCCCAAACAATTAAGAAGGTCATACTTTTTGTAGAAGCGATTTTTTGGTTTATATTGAAAGAGAAATAACAGAAAATAACATTACGTAAATAGTTGTTTATTTAAACGGCTTTAGTGAAACTGAAACTGCCTACAGATTTATATTTACAACATTTCTAATGCTTCTGTTTGGCGAATATGACAAGTTTCACGGTAGTCGTTATAAAACATGATCATTGGCAATCCTACACCTACCTAATACAGTAATACTAAATAATCCATCTTTTTTTTTTATCTATCAGATACTATAACAATATTAACCAATAGTTTTCCTTGATTATAGTTGATCATAATATACACTATACAAATACAGTCATGCATGAGCTGAAGAAAACAGACCTCACTGAAAAAAAAAATTGAAACTATAGATTTTAAGTTAAAATGTTTAACAGTAGTTAATATGCGGGTCTTATTTATTACACAAAACAGTAATTATATTTATGTTAATGATTTATTCTTTATAAGAATTGTTTTATAATATTTAATTATTTGTACTAAACGAATAAAATTTAGTCAATTTAAAAATGTAGTATTAATATTAAAATTAATGGCCAAAAATCGTATATTTTATAAGTAATACACAGTATTCAATCTCAAGTAATAATAACTATAATTATATCCTTTTGGTAACTGATATATTATCATCATTATATCATACAATGATATTATCATTTATGGTATCTTATATTTATATGATATCATATTGTGTTGTATCATCATTCTTTTATTGTGAAAGTATGAAATTTACACTGCAAAAACACAATTGTAATTATTACCTGTTGCACGCAATTAAAATAAAGGCTTAAAATTGACTTAACTCAATAACATGGCATATTATTGAGTTTACAATTGATTTTAAAAAGCCAGCGTAGTGGAGCCGGGGCATAGCAGGAACGAAGTATAGTGAGGTCAAAATAGTCACTGTAGGAGTTGCTAACCACTTTCAAAAAGACGCTTCGATGTAAACCTGTAGACGGTTGAAATATCAAATAATGTTATATTGACCAAATCGTTTCATGACTAAATCAACATCGCTAGGGCGATAAACAAGCTATAATCATTACTTTTAATTTAACGTCTACTCAATTATTCCATTTTGTCTGATAAAATTACCTACAGAGTAGTGTAAAGGTTAGAGTTATTTTTTGTATAATGTAAAATATATTTTTAAAAGCGTAAAACAAATGTAAATAACAAAATAATTTCAAAAAATATAAGTGCGTGTTTTTTCTTATGGTCTAAAGACTATCTTAGCTAAAATATCAGAAACACGGCATCATTGTTTCAATTAACTTTGATACAGAATATAGTTAATTTACAATTGCACGTGTTACAGATATGTTTAACAAAACCAACCAGATACGAGTAAATTGTAATAGTCCCTGTGCAAATGTAGTTAATTATAGTTTTGTTTTATCTTATCCGAACTTTGATTAACTTAATGTGTATGTTAATTTGCATTTTTTATTTATAAAAAAACGATAAACGGGCGTAAGCAAATTAACAAATGGAGTAATAAAAAATTCTACCCTTTTAATAGATTAAACCATAAAATATATTTGTTATGTGTTATATTTAATCAGATAAATAATCAATACTCAGACAAATATCAATTGCGTGAAGCCGAGAAAGTTTTTGACGATACTGCACATCTATAGAGTTGGTGGTACACTAGGATAAGAAGTCGTTTGCTTTCTGTTGTCATTAACGAAACCCAATTGTGAATAATAATTGTTGAAAACATTGTTCACGAGTTCTCCGATTTTATCTCCTAACAGGCCTGCGATCTTGGGCGATATCGGTTTTTTCCTAAACTTTTTTTTCAATAAACTGATTTGCTCATGAAGACTAGGAGTAACTATTTCCGATACTGTGCAAAATGTTTGCAAGAATGGCAGCATGGTCGTATTGGTGTGGCTATAAAGAAACATTGTAAAACTATAAGAAAGCATACTCAATTTTTTATTATAGTCAGGATCGTTTTTTCCAAAGTATCCAGGAAGCATTTTTATTATATTTTTGGAAACATCTTTAAATGATTCTAAGCAAGATACGACCGTGATGTCTATTATCTCCCGAGTGTACGCGTCGAACGATCCGCCCGACGGTCTAGTATCGATTAAATACCGCATTGTGCTGAACATTAGATCAAACATTGCACTACTGTTGGTCAACTGAAGCACAGCGAAATTAAAAATTTTCCAAGGCACTTTGAAATCGATACCTTCCTCGTCAGACGTTCGATCTTCCGAATTCTCGCCTTTTTCTTTACATCCTTGAAGTGACTGTTGAACAGGGGTTGCTTCTTTTGCTGCCTTTCTTGCATCGTCTAATTTCCTTTTTTTTTCACGCTTAGCTTCAGCTTTAAGGTTTCTTCTCACTCTCTTGCTCTCTTCTAAAATGTTCCTCAATAAATCCGTAAATTTCAACATCTCGTTCGCGTAAATACATCCTACCAAATGTGTGACCATATAATGTTTTACGCTTTCGTTGTCGTTGTCGTCACCGACTAATGTGTTATCGGAGTTTTCGTTATCACAAAACAAATTATTTGACACAAATAAATCATTACCTGTAAACGATTGTTTTCCGTTGAAGGGCAAGCGATATTTGGCTGCCACACTGGTGACCCGCGTCCATCCTGGATAGCTCAAAATTGCATTTAGTTGGTCAGCTAATGATGGTTTTGTTTCATCAGCATCGGTCGGTTCTTCACAACCTAATACCACGCAAAACAACAGTACGACAATCGACACATGGCAAAACATTTTAAGTCGGAAAAATAGTATTCGGCGTCGGGCTTTTAATCGGTGCTGTATAAAATATGGTGAAAAGAAATTCATTCGAAAAGTTTGTCACGCTGTGCTTTCCATTATATGCATAACGTGCAAAGAACCTATGCGTTGTTATTGTAAAAACCATTTTTTACTTTTTATTTAAATTGTTTACCCACTGCAAATATTTAATGAAATTCATACATATACGAGTATAGCTCTAGTTATTGTGGTATAGGAGCAATAGAAATGATACACAACTATGAAACTAAGCAATAAATCCGGGTCAAATGGCAAACGATAAAATCGTTGATACAGTGATAATTATAATTATTTGTATTATTATAATTATTATTATTTGTATTATTATAATTATTATTATTCTGTTTCACTTTTTTTTAAATTTATTTGCAGTGTTTTCGTACTTATATGCGTTCCGTCTTGCTATGTTTAAGTTGATTATGTAAAACGTACTAAATTACACAAACACAAGTCCGCGTGAACACTCAAAATCTTGTAGAAACAGATATTCTTTAATTATTATGTATAATAGAGAGGAAAATAAATATTAAATAAGTATTTTAAGGCTTTGGTGTAAAATATTAGATGTAAAAATAATTTAAGAAAACTGTTAGTATGATATACAGGTATTTCCCAAAGATAAGACAAATGATATAACTTTTGTTCTAGTGAGTATTTTTATGATTTTGTTTTTAAATTAATTTGTACTCATAAGCACCACGTTTTTATTGCACTTAACTATTTTACTTTTTTAAATTATTTTTTTAATTCTTTTTAAAACAGTAATTTTTTTTAAATTTAAGTTAGCCATTTAATTAATAATAATTTGCTAAACATTTCGACTGGTCGGCAACCAGTTTTGGATAATTACTTTTAAAGTTGTTTAAGAGTTAAAATTTAGGATAGAGGTGGAATGCAGTAGAGTATTTTTTTATATGTTCGTAAAACTCGATGTTTTGATTTATTGTTTTTTGAAATTTCAAAATTGATGTATTTTGTTTATAATGTGTTTTATTATTGTTAAATAATATAGTTGTAATGCCTTATTACTTGAATTGGCTAAACATAATTCGAATGATAATGAACTATAAATAACTTATATACAAAGTTTCAAATAAATAAAAAAATAATCATAATAACAATATTATACACGAATAACAATTTGCTCAGCAACGAAAAAATTAACATAGCTAGGGCGATAAAAAAAACTATAATCTTTACTTTTACTTTAACGTCAACTCAAACAATTTTTTTTTATTAAAATTCAGTGATTTCTTCAGAAATTTCTTTTGACTTCGACTTTCTTTTGTTTAGTGTGACTTTCCAAATGGATGACAGTGATCGAAACGATTATGATATTGAGACGAGGGAATTAAAAAAATAACTAGTAGTCAGTTTCTGTATAATAATGCTTTATTTTTTTTTTGATAGAGCTTTATAATTGTTTTTTTATACTAAACGTACCTCGGTCAAATTCGAGAGGAAGTGTATGTTGATTTGAATTTTTTATTGTTTTTTAAATCGGTAAACCGGTTAAAGCAAATTAAAAAATTACCTCTCTATCCTTTAAATAGATTAAACCATAAAATATAATTAGTATGTGTTATATTTAATCAGATAAATAATATTAAAACTATTTTCGGACAAATTGTATTATTTGTGAAGCCAAGAAAGTTTTTGACTATACTGCACATCTATAGAGTTGGTGGTTTAGGATAAGAAGTCGTTTGCTTGAGGTTGTCGTACACAAAACCCAATTGTGAATAATAATTATTCATCATATTGTTCACGAGTTCAACGATTTCTGCTCCTAAAAGATCTGCGATGTCGGCCGGGGTCAGTTTTCTTCCACACATTTTTTTAAATACACGCTTTTGTGCCTTAAGACTAGGAGTAACTATTGTTTTAGTGAATATGTTTACGATTTTTTTTAAATTAATTTGTACTCATTTGCGCTATAAGCACCAAGTCTTTTATTGCTCTTAACTATTTTAAATTATTATTAAATCATACAATTCATGTAACTTACTATTAGTTCTAAAATAGGGTTTTAAATATTTTAATTGTTATGATAATGATTTTGGTTATCACGAGAAAATGACATAATGTAATAGCAACCCATATAAATTATATTACACTATAATTTTACATTATATTGAATGTTTTTAAAATTGCTTAAATTTATAATATATTTTGGCAATATGACAAAAAGAGAGGAAATATGACTTATCACCTAGTCCCAATCTCTCATATTGAATTGAAGAACAGAAAATTGCTCATTTTTTTCACCTCACAACAATAATAAAACAACTGATATAATATATTATAGAACAAAAGAAAGAATGATCATCTAGTTTATTTTGGATTCACTTGGCATTTTAAATGAAGACTTTGTTAATTATTCTTTCAATATGTCTGATAAACTTGCCTACAGAGTAGTGTAAAGATAAGGTTAGAGTTTTTTTTATGATGTAAAATATATTTTTAAAAGTGTAAAACATATATTCATACCAAATCAATTTCAAAAGAATCATTCAGAGAATGAGCATACACCTATAGTGTTTATTGAAATGTAAGTGTGTGCTTTTTCTTTTGGCCTTACTGCAAAGACTATCTTAGCTGTGGTAGATAATAAGTTGCATATGTGAAGTAAAATATCAGTTTTAATTAACTTTGATACAGAATGTATTTAATTTACAATTGCATGTGTTATATTTAATCAAATAAATAATATTAAAACTATTTTCCAACAAATTTTATTATTTGTGAAGCCGAGACAGTTTTTGACTATACTGTACATCTATAGAGTTGGTGGACTAGGATAAGAAGTCGTTTTCTTGAGGTTGTCGTACACGAAACCCAATTGTGAATAATAATTATTCATCATATTGTTCACGAGTTCAACGATTTCTGCTCCTAAAAGATTTGCGATTTCGGCCGGGGTCAGTTTTCTTCCACACATTTTTTTAAATACACGCTTTTGTGCCTTAAGACTAGGAGTAACTATTTCCGATACTGTGCAAAAATTTTGCAAGAATGGCCGCATGGTCGTATTGGTTTGGCTATAGAGAATCCGTGAAAATTTATTAGTAAGCTCACCCACTTTTTTATTATAGTCAGGATCATTTTTTCCATTGTACGCGGGTAGCATATCCTTTATATTTTTGGATACATTTTTAAAAAATTGTAAGCAAGGTACGACCTGGATGTCTATCATCTCCCGAGTGTACGCGTCGAACGATCCGCTCGACGGTCTAGTATCGATTAAATACCTCATTGTGCTGAACATAAGATCAAACATTGTACTACTGTTGGTCAACTGAAGCAAAGCGAAATTCAAAATTGCCCAAGGCACTTTAAAGTCGATACCTTCCTCGTCAGACGGTCCACCTTCCGAGTTGTCGTCTTTTTCTTCAGATCCATCAAGTGACTGTTGAACAGGGGTTGCTTCTTCTGCTGCCTCACTTGCATCTTCTAATTTCCTTTTTTTTTTACGACTAGCATCGGCTTTAAGGTTTTTTCTCACTCTGTTACACTCGTCTATAATTTTCCTCAATAAATCCATAAATTTCAACATCTCGTTCGCGTAAATACATCCTACCAAATGTGTGACCATATAATGTTTTACGCTTTCGTTGTCGTCACCGACTAATGTGTTATCGGGGTTTTCGTTATCACACAACAAATTATTTGACAAAAATAAATCATTACCTGTAAACGATTGTTTTCCGTTGAAGGGGAAGCGATATTTGGCTTCCACGCTGGTGACGCGCGTCCATCCCGGATAGCTCAAAATTGCTTTTAGTTGGTCAGCTAGTGATGGTTTTGTTTCATCAGCATTGGTCGATTCTTTACAAATTAATACCATGCAAAACAGTACGCCAATCAACACGTGGCAAAACATTTTAAGTCAAAAAAAAATTATTCAGCGTCGGACTTTTGAACGGCGATGTAGAAAATATGGTAAAAAGGAATTAATTCGACAACTTTTTCACGCTATGCTTTTCTTTATGTGCATAATGTGCAAAGAACCTATATTACTTTTAAATTGAAATTGTTTACCCATCCCAATAGGTATTTAATGAATATCGTGCATATCCTAGTATATTATAGTATAGGAGTGATAGAAATTATACAATTATGAAAGTAAGCAATAAATATTAAATACAGACCAAATGTCAAACGGTAAAATTGTTAATACAGTGAATAATTAAATAAGTATTTGAAAGCCATGATGTAAAATAGTGGATGAAAAAATAATTTAGGCGGCGGAGAACTGTGTGTATGATATACAGGGTGTCCCTCAAAAATAATACAAATTAAATAACTTTTGTTCTAGTGAATATTTATATTATTATTCTGGTTCACTTTTTTTTTTGAAATTTTTTCTGTAGTTTTTTCGTACTCATACGCATTTCGTTTTACTTTTTTTTAAGTTTGTTAAGTAAAACGTACAAAGTTGCACAAGCACAAGTCCGCGTGGACACCTATAGAAACAGATATTCTTTATGTGTAATAGAATGGAGTATAAAAATTAAATAAGTATTTGATGTCTTTGGTGTAAAATAGTAGATACAAAAATAATTTAGTCGGCGGAGAGCTGTGTGTATGGTATATTTATTATTATAGTGCCTTTTTAAATGGGAATTTATCATTAGACTTTTTACAATGTATTTTGTTATGATAGACGGTTAAGTTAACGTGTACACTCCGATTATTATATTAATATGCTCTAGTGAATGAGTAGGTAGATAGACGGCGGTGTACTGGTAAGACTGTTAAGGTCAAGTTCAAAATATCAACTAGAAAGGATGTCAGTATATTCGCAGCTATCCGAACTGTGTATACTATTTACTTATTTATTTTGTGTTTAATCTTTTTTTTGTCATTCCGTGCAATTACTAAGATATTGGAATGTTATATATTTTTTACATCATAGTTACTCAATACATAATCATAACCATCATCAAAATGCATACAGTACTATGAAATCTAATTTGTTGACGTAGTAATTCGTGTATGTAAAACTATTATAACCTATATTATGATATGTTAAAAAAGATTATGCCACAATGAGGTCAAGAAAATACATAGTTTATAAACAACAATCAACCCAATTCAGTAGTTTCAAAAATTAACATTCTATCTTCTGTTTTGCTTTTGTAGTAACAAAAAAAATTAATCATTAATAAAAATGTAATCACTTAATATATTTTTTCTTTCTCAAAAACAATAATTTTGAAAACATTATGGTACTTTTTGAAATTTTGAGAACTTTAAAAATGTATGCTTACAGTTGGGTTTTATCTGTAATAATTATTGTGTCGTTTAATGAGATAGAATGAAAATATAACCCATTTATTGTTAATAGAGTTAAATAAGACATAATTATATCTCTATTTTAGATATTATTTTATGTATTTATCATGTTCCATAGAAAATTAAATATCTAACCGGTCGATTTTATAAAACTCTACTACACATGTTTGCTTGTTTGCAGTCATTAGGGGAAAACGGGTTTCAAAAGCCTAGAGTTTAATTTAAGATGAATACTACATACTTATAATTAATTCAAAAATTTATTTTCGAGTGTTCAGTTAAAGTTACAATGATGCAGTTTGGTAGTTGGAATAATTTTAACATTATTATAGTAAAGATACAGAACATTACCTGATAAGTATAACTAGCTTTACATGACGTATGCTTCGTTATATGCAGTTGTGTAAATAAAACATTACCTATGTATGGTGTACCTCAACAATCTAATGATTAATAAATTTTTGGTAGTCAAGTTTTCATCTTGGGTAAGAGTGCAAGAGTATAAATAAAAATTACATGTCAAATTCATTGTGGCAAAAATGTAAAAACTAACCAAAGTACGGAATTATTAGTGTGCGATAGGAAGTGTGGATGGATCTATTTAAAAATACTTCAAAAAGAGAGTAAAATACTTGTTTGATAAAAGTTTTAAAAATGCTAGTAATGGATGTGTACAGTTCTGTTTTTATTCAAGAACAAAATAGTAATTTCTTGACCGACGTTTTATTTAAAATGTACACAAATACGCCGTGGCCACCCGTACACACTATTGTAATACAGTCGCTCAGTATCATAAAATATTACAAAAAATTGTTTCAAAGCAGTATAAAATCATTATAGTTACAAATACTGTCTTATGTTACTAAAACAGTAGGTCATACGGTGTTCGAGCGTTCAGCTGTTAATGATGGAACGAGTAACTGCTGCTGTAGCCGAATCCGTTATCGTGTCCGAAATCGTATGTACTGTGGCCGTAACTGTGGTCGTGGTGATCCTTGACGTAGACCGGGATGTGCTTGTGGACGTACACGGGGTACGGCACTGGGTGGGCGACCGGCACCTTGACCGGCACTTTGACCGGGTAAGGGACGGGCCTGTCGACGGGCACGGGCACGTGCTTCTCGATGTGCACGGGGTATGGCACCGGCTTCTCCACGGTCACCGGGTACGGTACGTGTTTCTCGACCGGCACTACGATGGGCCTGTCCACCAAAACGGGCACTTCCTTGGTTATGTGCACAGACTTGACGTGTCCGTAGCTGTGTTCCGGTCCGAGCAGACCGTAACTGGACAGACCGTCCCAATCGCTGTCACCGCCATATCCGTAGCCTAAGCCCCATAAGCCTCGCTTGCCCTGCTTCTTTTCCGCCGGCTTGTCTGCCGGCTTGTCTGCCGCCTTGTCTGCTTCGGCACTCGCCAAAGCCAAGCTAGCGCACACCGCCAACACTAATGAGATCTGAAATCAAATATAAGGTTAAAATTATTAAACAATGTTTTATTAGAATCTGCGGCTAGACTGGCACCAGGCACACTATTTGAGAATATGCAAATTTAAAAATATTAATGATTAACAAAATGTGTACTGTTTATCCTTTTTTTAATTTCAAAGTGATTTAGTTAAATACAACAATTTTTGGTTATTATTCACGAGATTGTCAGTATGATGTTACTAATTGTCGATAAGTATAAAAAGTTTTTTGTTGGGGTTTTAATCGTTTTATATAATAAATCTAAGTTTCTCAAATAATATTATTCAAACTGCATTATAAACCCTTATAATATTGTGATCACGAGGACTCATTAGTAATATTATATTTTATAACACTGTACTGCTAAAGAAATATAAAAAATAGATCAATAAGTTTGGTCAAAATCTATTTAAGTGCAATGTTAAGCTCAAACTAATCCATTAGTATAATTTTCCATTCTTGCCGAGTTTAAGTGTCCTTTGCACGTCTACGTGCAAACGTTATTTCTTTAAAGCTGTGAAACTGAAATTCCAATTAATAGAACCAATCTGGGACATGTTAGTATAATTTTTTTCATCCGGATCTGTATGTGAGTTAATTGATAAATAAAAATGGGTTTAAGCAACAAAAAGAAAACGTATAAGTATCGACGGCGGTCAATGAGAACCCTAAGTAGTTAACGTTCGAATCTTGCGAGCACTTAAGTAAGTACCTATGTAAATATCAACGGTTTACTTACCCAGACTTGCATGGTTGTACTTGCGAATGCACGTCTTGAGCAGCTGCGTACGAATGCGAGTTCCCGGCACGAGCCCGTCAGACTTGTGTGATCCAGATTGGCCGGGGCATTTCCATTATATAGGCGCGTTTACCCCAAGGCCTCGGACCACATCGCATCGGACAGAGGGAGGAGGAGGAGGCTCGCACAATGATATCCAAGGGATATTTCCCAATAGCCGTTCACTGAGCCCGGTTGACCTCTAGCCACGGCTCTTCGGTCTTCCAGCGCGTGGCCGCCATTGTTTCTTCACGGTTCGTTCTCTCGCCAAATTGCATCATATCGTTATTACCATCATTATCATTACAGCTAATAACTTTTCTTCGGAGGAGTAACCCGCACAATACATATGTACCTACGCTCCCAGGACCGACCTTCAGCCACACATACAATTTTTTTTTTTTTAATTATATTATTTTGTTTGTCACCATTTTTTTATAAGCCCAATGTGTTCGTAGATCAGCACCACTGGTAAAACCGAGAGCCGTTATCCTTTCTACATAGGTTCGGAGCGAATAATTGTCACGCCATCCGACCTCAGACAATCGATAATCGTGACTACTGATTATAATATGCGATATTAACCCCGGCGACACACTGCCAGTCGAGCCTTTGTGTATTTCGCTGTGTTTGGAAACTTGGAATATAACGTTAACGCTAGATCAGAAAAATTAGATACCGAATACGCATATGCATACATCTTGTAGTAGCCTCACATATGCGCTTGTGCTCTAAATCCCTGTGTTTTTCTTTAGCCAAGTTCACACACGAGGTTTACGACGAAAAACCTTAAAGTTTGAGTGAAACTTTATTTGAGGAATGTTCCTGATGTTTGGTCGGAGCTTTAAACTATCTGTTCGAACGAGTAAACCGCAATATCTACAGTTTATTCATTAATATACAAAGAAGCTAAATAAACAATCTATTGACTTGGTGGTGGTATAGCTTTCTGCATTATCTTGTAGGCATGCACGCCAGAGTGCTGTAATTTGCATGGTTGCGTGATACCAACGGATATCCCTGTGGCTGTTAAATCATTATTTATAAATACAAAAAGGTGTAACCGCATACTCACAGACACTCTTATGGTATATGTAGTGAAAAATAACCATGTGATTTGTTTTATTATTACACATTATAGATAGTATTCAATTAAATAACAACGGTCTCTTTAAGGAGTCGATATGCCCGCAGTTCATAAAGTATTTAGTATAACATTGTACTTTTACACCTTTTCTTAATAATGCTTTTTGTTTTAATAATTAATATTTAATTGCGTTTTTTCCACAGTACGCTTATTAATTACTAATTAGTTTTCTTAATAAGTATTATTGTTAAATTCTAAGAGCTTTATACAGTTTAAAATAATTATAGTGTTACAAAATCCATATACGTATGTGAATTTCGTGGACCAATTTCACACAGTCATGCGATGGGAACAATATACTGTGACTGTAATAGTTCATATCAAAAAAAAAATAGCCAATGACGACCATTAGGTCGTGTGGTTAAGCAACAATACTTCATGTGTGTGTGTGTGTATTATAATTCGATTCGGAACAGCTGCGCACAAGTCGTACGAAGGTAATGCATCATGATTTTTGATTTAATAATGATAGACTAGGGACTTCGACAGAAGTGTTAAGAAATAATAATATTGTTAACGGCCGGCGTGTGCTGGAGAAAAAAAGTACCATTTCATTGTAGGTTTGCTGGTCGAGCGGTTCAATAATTATATGGTGTTGTTTGAGTCGGCACGACATGCATGACTATTTCAATAAGAGCCGTCGATGACCACGGCCGGCTACAGAATGGTAGAACTGATGATTTTCACGACCAAAGCGCATACACACACACACTTAAGACTGCCTACAGACGTCTCAATGGATCGCACCGTCAAACCGTCATCCGGCCCCATTGACACGTTGGGGTTTGACGGGTTGATTGAATACAATCAACAGTTTGAAGGGTACATTATCGCGTATCGAATACAGCTGATCTATACTGTGGTGTACAGTTTATTAGTATGCGGTCATCTATTTGGCTGTCGTTGTACCACGAAAGCGATACTGTTAAAGCCGCCAAAAAAAAATAATGACCTCGCATAGCAATCATGACGTGTGCAAGTTGAACCCTGTTGTACAGAAAACAGCAGAGTTATGCAGGTGTTATGCAACGAATGATCGTGACCCGTGAGGTCGACGGATGAATGACACAGACTGTACTTAAATCGACGTACTCTGAATTATCTGACCACGTCGATATGTGCAGCGAGGAAAAACAAGAGTGAAGGACGTAGTAATAATTGTATTACATATATTATTATTATATTTTAGTGGGTTTTATCGTTATTAATGTGTAGAATAACAGGATGATACTATACATGTATGCATAAGTTTAGTCAAACTCACGGTATATATTTATAGATACGTACAATGTAATATGTTTATGTGAAAACCGAATAAAATTATCTAACTCTGAGGAATGTACATTTTTTATTTTGCAAACGATATACCGCACTACATACTATATACATAATAACACGAGTATTATCTATAATATTATGTCGATTAGCAAACGTAGGTATACTTTATCTTACAACAAATGCAGTTTTTTTTTTTGTAAAAACAAATCTACCAAAACAAATGTGTGCAATGTAAGAAATAGTCATTCCGCTTAATGAAATGTTGTGTTTTTTCACGTTGTTTCTTATTTATTGATGTTGGCCGTGAATCCTGTAGCCGTAGGTCCCAGGTAGTTGTTGTGTCCTGAAGCGTAACTGGTAATGCTGCCGCCCTGACCCATCAACCCTTGCATTAGGTTAAACGCGCTTCCAAACAGACCGCCATTTGCGGTGTTCAAACTCAGCTGAGCCACACCACTTTGGCCACTTCTGCCCACACCGAGTGCGTTGAGCGCGTGGTTAACGCCTATGCCGTAACCAGACGGCGCACCGTACCCGTTGTTGAAGACCGGCGTTCCTATGAAATTTGGCCTTGAACCCCACATGATATTCTGCTGTACCGGCATCGGCGTGCTCATGTATACTGGGTAAGGCGACGGTCTTTCCCACAGCACGGGTTGCGGCACTGGCACCGGTTGCGGCACCATCACGGGTTTGCTGATCACTACCGGGTAGGGCCTGGACACCTCGTAGGGCACGCGCTGCACAACAGGTACGTGCACGGGCACCTGCACCGCGTACGGTACCGGTCGATCCACGGGATACGGCTTCGGAATAGGCACGTGCACCGGGTATGGCCGATCCACCGGCACGGACACTTTGTACGGTACGTGCACCGGGTACGGCATGGGCCTGTCCACTTGCACCGGATACGGTCTATCCACATGCACCGGGTACGGCATGGGCTTCTCCACCTGTACCGGGTACGGCACCGGCCGGTCTACGTGAACCGGGTAGGGCAGTGGTTTTTCTACCTGAACGGGATACGGCAGCGGTCGATCGACCGTGACTGGATAGGGCAACGGCCGATCTACATGCACCGGATAAGGCAAGGGCCGGTCGTATGCCACCGGATATGGTACCGGTCGATCATAGGCCACCGGATACGGAACGGTTCGATCATAGGGCACCGGATACGGAACGGGTCGGTCGTACCCGATGGAACCACCGACGGGCACGGTGGGTACGCCATACGCACCGACGCCGGAAGCACCCCATGTGCCAACCCCAACGTGCCCGAAGCTACGTTTATCGGTTTTTGATTCTCTAGAATGATTGTCATCCTTCTTTAAATGGCTGTCTTCACACGAACCATAAGAGATGCACAACCATAAAACTAAAACCAATATCTGTAAACAATACATATTATTAGTTGTAATTAAAAATGGTTAAGTGACATAAACATGAACTATGCTTGATGAAATATCTAGCTATATTAAAACGCTCTAATTCCATATAAAATGGCTGATTAAACTAATATTCAATTATAGTTAAATATTAATATATTTTGTTAAAGAATTGATATTAGTGAGTAATAGAGGGTAGGGGATTAATACTGTAATTACAATGTAAGAAGGATAGTTTACTTGTTATTATTTTGTTAATAACAATTGTTATCTTTCTTCATAATTCAATAAAATAAATATAATTATCGATTAGCCCGTTGTGGATTTTTAGTGTGAAATAAAGTTTACACCGATGAATAATAGGGGCTGTGATAGTAATAAATTCATCAAATTTCCATAGAAAATAAAGGAGAATGTTTAATAAGCGTGGCAATTTTTTGACAGATCGAAAAAATGTTCTACACATTTTTAAAATTTAATTTAATTTAGTATTTTAAAAATTACTAGATTGAGTTATCGAAAGTTAAAAAACTTACAAGCACAGATAAAGTTCTCCTCGATTTACAGTGAAAATTTGGTGATTTTACAAAAATTCCAAGATAGATTATACTGATCGTACAATTAGTTTCAACGTATGTATGAATTATTATAATATACTGTCATGTATTACATAGCCAATAAAAACTTGATTTTTCGTACATGTTTGTGTGTATGCTATGTATTTTAAGACAGTCAGCCTAATTTGATTTAATATATTTGTTTTGTGTGCGTTCAAGTTTATTTTTTTCTGATTGGTCGCCTCCATTAAGTGAAATTAGTTTAGTACCTATACTATTTTAAAAATAGTTTCCCGTTAACCGACATTGAAGGGAAAACGAACCGCGTCGAAGGTCAATCACTAATTTTCAGTGACTAATGGCTTAACGGGCTTTTTTTACGGATAGCAAAGTAGATTGTGTCTTAAAAATTATACTCTGAATCTACTCCGAATGATTTCACCAACTAGTTAAGGAATGTGTTATGTACGTATAAAAATACAATAGATTGATAATGGAAAATTGGTAATTAATTATTTTATTAGATCATCACAACGCTCTTGACAACAATTTTAAAAACATTTCTAGCAGAAAGGGTTTTACTCAGTCTATGATAGTTTAGAACAAAAATACTTTTTATTTAATCATAAAATTTAATATATAGTAGTTCATTTATAACGTTAATCGAAGAGGACACTCATTTTTAAGTGTAAAACTAGATATTTCTTCAACTGTCTTATGTTTGTATTTGAAATAGAGTTTTTAAATTCTGGTAACGACATTATTGAATTAATAAAATTAATATACATCGTATGTATCCGTTTTTGTTGATACCTGTTGTAATAGCGTAAGTTAGTTTTATTATTTGTTCATACTTCATTTTTTTTTTTTTAATTTAGTACCAATAATAAACGTCATAATTGGCTCAAGCCTCAAGTACAGCAATAAAATGTTTAAAATAATAGGTACAGCAGTAATTATTAAAGTATTATTTTTTAAGATAATTATCACATATATATGTATATACCTAATTTAATGCTTGTTTTATAAGTATCATCAGGCAAAGTTGTACATTTAATAGTTGACCAATAATAATGAAAAAAAATAGTAAAAAACAGACGCTATAATAGTCTAATAAAACAACAAAATATAAGGTACTTTCAAAGTCTCCTCATTACTGTATTTATAAAATTACATTAAAGTTTTAGTTTTAAATCAAGTTTTTGGTAACATTTGCCTAAATAGAACACTTAATAATTTGATAAATGTGACAGATATAGCGTCAACTTAAAGTTAATATCGCAACTGCAAAATTTGGTAAAATGGACTAAATGCTTCAATATGTTTGGATATAGCGAACGCATAAGATAGAAAAACGATGTAACTGTAGTTGTAATAATTAATTGAGCATTCATGAATTATTAACATTTTAGTGAAAAATAATTTGGTGTTTTGGTTCTCTTGTAAAATTTAAATTATTACAGTTCTGTCATTGTTCTGTTAAAATTAGAAAAAGCAAAAACAATTGATATACTTTTAAAAACCAAAAAAATAAAATAATTTGGGTTACATTACTATGTTTATTAATCAATGATCCAACGTTCCAAAAACCTCAAACCCTAGTAGATTAAATATTTGAATACTTTTTTATAAATTATTCCTTATTTATTAAAAACTGAAGATAATTAATTTAAAAAAAAATGTTTGTTTTAAAATATATTATTTTTTACTTACTTGCAATTTCATGATTTGTATCTCCTTGTTGGCGATCATCATAGAAACTGTACCCGTTTAGGAAAAGCGTATCTATTATAAACGGCCGCCAGATAAAGCTTCTTGATACCGTGGAAATTCTAATTTCCTTGATGTTGCATCACCGAGGTCCTTTTTGTTCTTATTTATTTAAAGAATTAGTCAGTAAGTGATTTTTACATTAAGTGGGGGTAATTAAAATGTTAACAGTCAAACCGATATGATCGGTCGGGTTGGTGAACCGTGCTTGAACTATTAATACTTAGTAATAATAGGTATCTACATTTACAGGGAAGTACCTATATACTATTATCGAACATCATTATTATAGTGGATTAATAAACTAAGTAAAGGGATAAAGTTCAAATGAAATTATACACCTATGAAATTTTATTTTTAAAATTTGAAATTTAATTTGCTTTTGAAATAAAACACATCATATGAACCTCCTCAGCTCGAAGCTTAAGATATCTAATAATTAAGTTCTAGTATGTGTTCTTAATAATTATTGTCAAATTGCGTTTAAAAGACTTTTTACCAGAATTAATTTGTATGACTTAGCATAATTTATTGTTTACAATTTCTTGATTTGTTTTAGTAGTACAATATATTAATATTGTATTTTATATTGAATAAAAAATAACAACCGACAGTAACGTTATATAACTTAATAGGCAATGAGACACCTACTTTATGTTTTACATTTTTATTTGGTTATACTACCTGAAAACCATAAAACGATTTCAAAAATTCTTAACTAATAATAATTGTTATATCATTTAGATTAATGTGGCATTACTTAAGACTTCAGCTGTTAAAACTTTAAGAAATACGATCTCAGTTTTTTATTATGCAAAATACACTTAAATAGTATACTGTTATTCGTAAAACCAGTTTTCACTTTTATTTTATTTTTTGTATATGTCAGACGAATTTCTAGGTAATTACTAAATGTACTTCCAAGATATTTATCCGGCCTACTGGATATTTTTTCTAATCAAAAAGTTTATAAGCTATATATTATGTTTTTGAAGTTTGTTAATAAATAATAACTAATTAAATTAATCAGTTGTAATATATTCTTAGCAGCGACAATAATAAGCCTCAACCTAATTTTTCGTTTTCGATTTTGTCCTTCGTTCGTTAGCATTAAATCCAAATTAGACTTTGATCAAATTACCTGTAACTAATTAACGGAAGAATTTCCAAATTAGTGCGGAAAAAAAATGATAAGATTTCTTTAAATTTACTTTTATAGATTTTACCATAGTTATGTTATAATAATATTAATTGATTATGAGCCGATTATGATGAAGACTATTTCACTTACAATAAATTACATAATAAAAAAAAATTATAGTTTCATAAATATAAAAATGATACTCGCTGATTCCACTTTCACTGCTTTTTTCTTAGATCATTATTTTAATATATGTCATACCATTTATATTTATATTTTATCGGTTATCCATCCGGTATTTGCGACAGATAATATTTCCTTATAACATCTGTTAATAGAATCTGAAATAATATATCTGCTTCAGATAAATAACTCTAAGACAGGTTTGGAATTACATTATATTCTGGACATGGTAGTTGCGTTCACTATAATAGCGAAGTCCAAACAAAGCTGCCGCGTTCAATACCGTTTGTTTTAATTATTTATTTATTATATCAAAAATTCTATGAAGTTTTAAAATTCATACTATGAAGTAATAAAGCATAAATTATATATTTTCCACTCACACTTTTTAATTGTACATTTATTACACAAATAACCTATTATGTTTCAATATTTTTTGCTCAATACAAATGTTATAAAAATAATAATTTTGGCTTTAAAATTTTAACCATTGTTTCGATTGAATAAGTATAAATAGTCTATTTTTTATTTTTTATATTAGTAAAAATATAATATTTTATTAATTATATCAATTACAGTAAGTGTGAGAGAATAGTGATTTTCTATTTCGTCGCTTAAGATGTAACACCCATCAAACAACAACCATTAAAACCAGTTTCAATTACCATTCAATAACATAATAACTGTTTTCGATTATTCGATTATAGCGTTATCTATTGACTTTATTATAAATCTGAGCCCATCTGTCGATTCCCTGCGAAAATTTAAATTATACAGTGTTGCCAACTCAATTTGATCAAAAAGTGAGTTATGGGGTGTTGCATCTTAAGCGACGATTTACATCACGTTTAAAATCTGGTTGCACAATTTAAAAAAACAACGTACTAAACGAGGGTTAATAGACGTGTAGGGCTCTATCCTTGTTAAAATAACCATATAATATTATATTGACAGGGTTGCCAATAAAGTTTTACAATAGACAAGACTTCGTGACTATTGCGATCACGACTATACCATGTTTGTAGCACGATAGTTTGTGCAATAAAACCTATTTTTTTTTTTTTTCAATAACCACACACAAATTATTCTGACCGCAGTAGCATAGTGTCTACTCAATATGAAAATCTTTTAAGATAATCCCATAATATACATTACAGTAGATAAATGCTAGTTGAAAAATGCAATTTAACGCTATTTTTGAACATTGTAGTGATGCACGGCCGTAGCGGAGTTCACCTAGTAGTTTTAATTTTAACAATACGCCAAGGCTGTCGTGGTGTCGGATTTCTATGTTTAATCGAAAATCTGTTACTCGCCGTTATTAGGTGTTGTAACGGATAAGCCTACTGGCCCCAATATTGTTCCTTGTTTTCTGGCCACCCGAGTTAATTAATTCGCAAGACTGCGAAGTTTCATTATTCAACGTTATCCGAGCATAAACACTCGGCGAAACGAGCGGATGTCCAAGGTCACCGAACTGCTTTCATTCATTGTTGGACGTACACACTATTTATACAAAAATTGTTTTATTTGTTTCATTAATTATATAATGTACAAAATAATTTTAAGTATAAAAAAACATTATAATCTAAGTAAAAAAAAAATTATTTATAATAACAACACGAGAGTGACCAGTTATAACTTGACTGATGGTAATAACTGGTTTTATGTCATAACAGTACAATTATTTGGTGTTACGCTTGTATTTCGAGCTGCTGTCGTATGAAGACGAACCGTACGACGAGGAACCGTGTGAAGAAGAACCGTAAGATGATGGACTGAACGACGATGATGATCCGTAAGATGACGGGCTGTATGAGGATGATCCGTAAGACGCCGAGGACAACGATGGGCTGTACGACCCAGATCCATAGCTAGAGCCGTAACTGGAGGCTCCGGAACCGTAGCTAGAGCCGTAGCTAGAGGCTCCCAAACCGTAGCTGGAGGATCCCAGGCCGTAGCTGGAGGATCCCAAACCGTAACTGGATGCTCCTAGACCGTAGCTGGAAGCACCAAGACCATAGCTGGAAGCACCAAGACCATAGCTGGAAGCACCAAGACCGTAGCTAGAGGCTCCTAAGCCATAGCCGGAGGCTCCCAGGCCATATCCGCTGTAAGCGGGTGCGGCATAAGCCGGAGCTGCGACAGCGACGGGTTGAGGTGCGGGGATGACGACTGGTGTGGCGACTGGTACTGGGATACGCCTAACGACGGGCACGGGGAATGGTCTGGACACTGGCACTGGAACGTTTTGGACGACTGGTACGGGGAAGGGGGCAGGCACTGGATGTGGCACAGGCCTGTCGACGGCGTAGGGTACTGGTCTTTCGACCGGTACTGGGTACGGGGCGGCTACACGAACGGCGTACGGGCGGTCGACTGGGTAAGGTACTGGAGATGGCACCGGGACGGCAACATTTCTTTGCACCGGGACCGGGTACGGAGCGGACACTGGCTGAGCGTGACGGTTGATAATGTATACTTCCCTGGAAACTGGGACGATGGGTCCGGCGGTCGGGATGGGAGCGGGTGCGGCAATGGCTACTGGTGCTGGTGCAGCAACAGAGTAGGCGGCAGGAACGGCAGCTACTCCAATAGCTGGGGCGGTAGCTACTCCAATGGCTGGTGCGGCAGCTACTCCGATGGCAGGGGCTGCAGCTACTCCGATGGCGGAGGCACCGCTGTACGCAGAAGCGTATGATGATCCCAAACCAGAAGCGAGACCGTAACCGGAAGAAAGTCCAATGCTAGAACCCAATCCTGAACCATAACCCAAGCCTGAGCCATATCCTAAGCCCGGTGATCCGTATTCTTCACCCAAACTGCGTTTTTCTGGTTTTACTGATTCTTTGCTGTTGGAGTCGGCCCCAACGAGGGCTACGACAGCCAAAGCGACAATAGCTGTGATCTGCAAATAATACAAAAGAATTTATAAATGAAAAAATATTAACAGAGTTTTAAACCGTCGGAGACTATGTGAGTGTAAGGAAAGATTGTTATAGTCTTACAATAGGCGTTTTGGTTAGAAAAGTAAAATAAAGTATTACACGTGTGTATGTGAATATAGCTTATATTATCATTAGTATAATCGTCTTTTACTTACAAATTTCATGTTTGCTGTTTGATGTGACTCGATTGAATGGTGATGTTATAAAAATCCAATTGGCTATATATACCCCCGCGGTCGGCTATTGCCGGCATATACAGCATGGTCGCGAAAATAATAACTTAACAAAAAAAAAACCAGTTTAAGTGTCAACCGGTACTGATGTTGTGTCATCGTTTGTGTGCCGACTTAAAGCAGACAAAATGTGGAACTGGAATATTGCACTCTCGCTGTGAATCATCTCGAGACAGCCTGTCTGCTCACGTAACGCGCACGGGTTATCTAACGGCGGCGCACAAACACACATACGAAGTTAATTGTTTATGTCACCCTCGTCGCCGTGGCCGCCATACGATCTGGTTTTGGACTTAAGCGTTTGCCCGTAAAAGAAATCGATTATTGCGTGTGGTAGGCCGTGCAACGCAAACGCCGGCATCTCATCTTGTGTTGCAAAAGTCATAACTGATAATTATTGGCTGTTAATGTGAGCCGCCCAACAAAATATCTAGTCATGTAGCGATTTAAATAACATATTAACGTTGGCGATTTGTACTTTTACCGTTTTGGTATATTATAAAATATGTAATAGCATGTTCGGAACTATTTATTGTTTGTCAGCATCCGGAAATCGTATCTCAATCGTCATGTATGGATATTCATGTTAACGTTTAGCACGCACGAACCAAAGTTTTTGTAATGTGTTCGGCCGACTCTTAAACGGCGCTTATGATTAATGGCAATATCCTTAGCCGACACAAACAAAACGAACCTACTGTAAATAAGTGAAGTAGACAAAAAAAAAAATATTATAACTGGTTCATAAAATTGATAAATGTTTATGTGGTAGGTACTTTCGCGCAGTACAACTATAAAGAAAAAATATATAAAAACTAATATGATTAAGAAGAATAAATAAGTTATTATACGGGACAACTCATTTTCCATTTAATATCAATAATTTCTCGAACAAGATTGATTTGCTTTATAAATAATTAAAAAAATTACAGTGGAGTATACGTGTAACCTGTTAATTCCGGTAATAAAAACCGTACACGTTTAAATTAAAAACTTATTCTAATTACTAACCTTCTCGATAAAACGTTGATATTACCGTTGAATGTCGTTTATGTAAGACAATAGGATAATACAACATGCGTTACATATGCCACTTAGTCGCTATACAATATATTATTGGTCATTGATATGTTATTGTTTATAATTGAATAACAGCAATAAAACATATTGCTGAGAGAGTTGACCAGATCATATAAAGATAATTAAATTCAGTATTGTATACTGTTAATGGTGGTCTAGTAATAAATTAGATAAATTGTAAAATAGGTGTCAAACGCGCAGTCGATTTATTAAAACCGGAGATTTAAAACTCCGTCAAGAGAGACGATAGTTACTGCATATTATTTTTAACAAATAAATGGTTAACATACCTAAGTAAATACATTTTCATACCGCCATAAATTCTTTAGAGTTAAATTTAATTAATTACAATTTTAGATTCATAGTAAAGCTGAAAAGTTAGTCATTTTAAAATAGTATGTACGTTTTATTATTGTTTCTGTTAAGATTATCTCTAGAACCACTGGACCATTTTACTTCAGTAGTACATGTACCATCGATGTAGTACCAATCATTTTTTGTTTTGTTTCATCAATAGCATATTTATTAAACCAAGCAAATTAGTTTGAATATATGGTAAACTATGAAATTTGAACGAAAAAAAGTATATTTTATTAAAAAAAAAAAGATTATTTTACAGTTCTATTCAAAACATTATAAAATACATGTTGCAAACAACAAAAAATAAACTCTTAATGGCAAGGGTTACCTTATAGACAAACACGTTGTGTCTATATTTTAATGGTAACCTTTGAAATATAGACACAATTATAGCTATTGGCTGTAAAGGCTGATTGCACAAAATATTGCTTCATTGGCATTTTTTTAAACCGAATCTATAATCACATTTAACAAAAATTATAAAACAAAAAAAACAAAAAAGTATAACTCTTTAATATTATTTATTATCGCTGTGAATGATTAATCACTTTAGTGTTTATCTTCTAATTTATTTGTATACTTTTACATTTAAAGCAATAGTTGTAATAGTAAATATTATTAAATACAAAATATTTAATACGCCATAACTGACATAATGACATTATTTACTCGAGTATTAAATGTAGACGTGAGGTAACTACGTATATAATATAATGCAACAAATGTTAAATGTACAAAACAGAACTGCAAGCTTTCCCCGGCCACTTAAGAACTAATTATACACGGGCCCATCAATCAGGCTTTTTTTAAATTACAATAAGTACGTCTAGAAACTCTTTAAATCGAAATGACGCTAATACTACCCGAGATAGGTATTATAACGAGATTATAAAAACGTACGTCAGTCGATAATCTTACCATCTATAATCTTACTCATCTAAGACTGTACAGGAAATAACGTTAGGTTAATATTTCGATGTTGATTACTACGCTATTAGAATATTGTTAACTTTCATTGGTGGGTACAAATTCGGCAGTTTTTAGCATTAGCAAAACTACAGCAATTAAAATAAAAATACGATTATGCTTGACGTGCTGTCTCTGATGCGTGCGGTTAAAAAGCTACAATCGACTAAGTATACCTATTCGTTGTTATTATGCAACAGATTAAAAAAAAAAACTCTTGTCTACCGATGAATTACATATGTGGTAAACTAGCAGTGGCTCTCGTTTCTTGTGTGAAACCCGAGTATGTTCGTCAAAGTAATATAGGTAATGCAGTTGACAAGGTTTGTCCGAATGAAAACGGAAGTACCGGATTTTGCGTATTATGCTACAAACAAGTTACAGAACCCAAGTCGTAACACAAAAGAGAATATATATATATATATATATATACGTAGTGGTCAGACACAAGACGGGTTTTATGGAATTTTGGCATACGTCGGCCGATCAATAACGCAAATTTGCTAATACTTTCGTCCACAAGCCATTATATTAAACGTTATACGACTAAACCTCTCCTCCCACCCAAAAAAAAAATTTGCTACCCCAAAAACTAGCTCTACGGTGGACTTAAAGGTAAAATTGAAAATACTCATTATGGAGTGGAACGAGGGCGGATTTTTAGAGTAAATGCCATAACAGTTTTTAAAAATATATCCTAGGGAAAAAAGTTTGAAAATGTATTTTTCGTCATAAGTTATTAATCAAATAATTATTGCATATTACAATATCTTTCTACTACATAACCTCTACACATCTCTATAGGCTATATACTTACATTATTAAGTACCTAAACACCCTAATAACATTACAGATTTACTGTTTAAACATTACATTCGAATTAATACTAATCTACCAGCCAACAATGACGTACCTATACAAACGTGTTTTCACTTCGGACAAGTCATGTAATTAAAGTATATTTAGGGTCATTTTTCATGGTACTCCTTTTTTTGTACGACCTTTAAAAAGAAAATAATTTCACAGTGGGTCATGGCCCAGTTGCTTCCCCCTACCATCATTTATACAGTAACAAAAATGTTATATATAATAAAAAACAAATCATTTCTTGTGAATGAAATTAACTGGCGAATCTTTTGGTTAAACATTTTATATAAATTTGTCAAAACAGAGCCACGTCGTTAATTTACCAACAAAAAATGTGTTCTAAGTAAATGTACTGTGGTAATATATATATAAATGAAGATAATGAAAAGTGTAAGTATTAAGTAGTTTAGACATGTAAATTTCGCCATACTACAACAACGAATAAACGTCAAATTAATACTCTAAATTGGTGTCGTGACATTTTAATATTATACATTTTTTTTTAGCTCCGTCGAGGTGATAAAAAACTGCAGGTGTTAACTATAATGTTACTAATACTGTAGCATGCCTTAACGCATAACCATCATAGTAATTATATAATATGTATGGATTAATTCGGCGAATCTGCCGTGTAAACTGTTAAGGGCAACCAATTATTGTATTTAATTTACACTCAAATCACATTATCTTTTACGAAATCTAAATCATATCTCATGAAGAGAACAATACCCATGTATTGTTGTTTTGTCATTATCTGCACTCGACTAATCGAACAATGAGCCGTTTAAAAATCAGAATGCATTGAATTCACCTTTTATAAGCATTGAGTAAGTATATACTCGACGGTATTAGATCACAGAACTCGTAAGGTACTACCTTATATATACTATAATATATAGGTAGGTATACCTATTTTTTTTATAAGTTGAAAGTTGGAAATCTTCTGTGGCCACGCTTTTAATTATTATTACATTATTGCACAAAACACGTGTTTTAAACGCTCAATTACATACCAACTATATTTTCATCTTCAGTACAAAAATAAATTATGTGGGAATGAAAATAATAATTTAAAGTGAACTATTGAATAATAGTAGACTGCAACACAATCCCGCGTGTATTTTGCCTACGATATCACCTATAGTAAACCTACGCACCTACTACGATTAACTGTATGTAAAACGATAATCAGGTATAATATGTATAAGGTAATAATAATCAAAACTCGATGAATACTATAATAGCCATACATGTGTAAATTCTCCAGACTTTATTATATAACGATAAATAATTTATGTGACTGCCAAAAAAAAAAAGACACTTCTTAATAGTAGTACATTATAAAACTGTCTCTACATGTAAATTATCATATATTTATATTACATCTAATAGTTGACCGGTCGTCGGACGCTTTAACTTTAAATTAAACCTAGGCATTATTTAAACAAATTTTTATTGATATAAAATATCAATGCATTTTTTTAAATTAAAAAATTATTTAACTAAAACTAAATTAAAAAATACAATTGTGATTATTCGACGAATTCAAAGAACAAATAAATATGTGTAAAAACAAAGTTTTAATTGTTAACTCCAATACTTTATAAAAATATACTTAAAATAATAACTAGAAATGTATTCCATTAAACAATTATTTGATGTGTTAAAAAAAATCTATTTTAAATAATTAAATAATTATTTAAATACAAATTTTCCAAGTCTGGCTGAAAGCAGCTCATACTTATGGAGCTAACTATCAAAATAATTAAATGGGTATCTATAACGTAACGGTTAACCGTTAACAGTATGAATCTATGTTTATATGCTAATACACATATTGGATTTCAATAGGTAGGTATGGGTAGTAGATACTTCATTAACAAAACAAGTAACAACCGACTTAAATGGTTTACATACAAATCTGTAACAGCAACACAGTTAAATTCCTGCCACAGGAAGATGTAATTTCTCAAAATGTCATCATTAACCGTGAAAGACGATGTTTCTATTATGTCGACGTTGGTTTTAGTTAGTTTATTTTTTATGAACATTTTTAAGAAGGATAGTTTAACTTTCACATATTAACAAGACAGAAAATAAAATACATGGTCTCGGGAGACCCCGTGCCTTAATTTTTATGTAATATTTCTTCAGTTTCATTTAACATACATTTTAACTATACTTATAGACATACCTAATTGAAATTCCGTTAAACTGTCACTCTCACTCAACTCGGTATTTTACCTCGCAGCTACAAATAAAATTGTTTAGAGCAGTTTAAAGTTAAAAACTGCAATAGATAGACTAATGCGTTAACTAGTAGAGATAATAAATCAAATATAATATACCTTATCGCTTCATTTATAGATACCTATAAACTGATTTGTTTACACGACAACATAGAACGGTATACTAAAAAATAAGCAGAAATTTGGAAATTTGGTTGGGGGGGGGTGTATGTTAGGGCCCTAAATGAAAGCCAAGCCCCCTGAAATAATTAAATAGTCTTCCTATAAAAAAAATAAATCTATGTACAGATTTTAGTTTACGAAAATCTGCTTTTTTTAACCTCACCTATTTCAAATTTGTATGGATTTTTCTATGCAGCCAGTTCAACAAGATAAATATTTTAAAACTAAAATACTATGTATGTAATTATATATATTTATTGCCGCTTTGACAACTTTGGTCATTAGCAGATTGATTTGATGTTTTGGGCTAAAATTAGTTAAGTTTTTTAACAATAGATTTGAAACACGTGATGTAGATTAGGAGTATCAAGTATGGCATCTTTGTCGCTAAATTCTCAGGAGCCATCCATTATACAACTGCGGCTGACTACTGTGTCACAACATGCCTTTTATTGTATATACTATGTCCCCTCATTTTTTAGAAGAAAATAAGATGATAGTTGAAATGGACAAGAATATCATGAATGTCGAGTTCAAAAATAAACTCCTCTTTCTCAATAGAATAAACATAATAATTTTAATAAAACAATTTTACAAATAAATACCAGGCACTGAACTGGCCTATAACCATTCAAAACAATATTTTTTTTTAATTTATCTTAGCATATTCTACTTAAAAATAAAAAAATTGTACAATAGGAGTAAATTTATATATGCAACAATATACAACAAGCGTTTTTTCCACTTTATATACCATAATATATATAAATTATATAATTTATTACTTATATCATAAAACTCAAGGAGAGAGTAATGGTATGTTGACAAACAATTATATAAAATACATAATAACTAAAAAATTTCATTTAAAATATATATAATTATAATTATTGGTTAAAAAAATCAATTGGTTGATAATCTGGTTTCAAAACCTATTTTTTCCCTTATTAACGTCTCTTATCTTATTTGCTGACTTATTCTCTGTAAGAACTCATAGTATGATATGGTCGACTCAAATTTATCTTCAATTAAGTGACTAAAGAACCGTAATTTATGTGGCCCATTTTCCCTAAAAATTATACAAAATTACATATAATTATCATATGAATCTAATACTTAATAATTTGTGTTAACATGATTAGATAAATACTTACTTAATGATTTCTATTGGTAATGGATATGGCTTGAAGTGTTGTAAGTAAGAAACAAAGGTACGCAGTAAATAAGACGATTTAGAATCTACCTCTGGTACTTGTGCCTAAAAAAGTACGATTGAAATAAAATAATACACAATTTCAGTGGTGTTATTAAATTACTTATAAAGAATATAAAAACTCAAATACTTACAATCATCTCCGGCATTGCATTGAAATTGACATATCCAAACAATTTTTGTATAAGAAGGTCTGAGCTTCTGCGACCAATAAATATTGTTAATGTTTCACTGTCGTCCATTAAATAGATTCCATTCGAATCGATTCGTTCAGCAGACAACTGGAGTAGAGGAGGAATGGGAACTTCTACTAACTTCTCATAATTAATTTTTGGCTAAAATTTTTTTTTATACATTAACAACAGTTTAAGTTTTTATAAAACAATTGTGAAGAATGTAGTTTTACTTGTTCTTCTAATGTGTGAATTGGGTATAAGTCGGGATAAATAAATTGCATAAGACTGTAGAGAGGCAAACTTTTCATCTGGCACATACTGAAAATTCTATCATCCAGTTTGGTCGGTTGACTAGTTCGGAAAGCACTCTGTCGGAATAAAAACAATTATTATTTCATTTCTGCATACAATTTTACATCGTATATTTACATGTTTCAATGTTGCTAAAATATACAGTGGGAACACTTTCAAGGATACTGGAGCTAACATCGACCCAGAACCACCAACTGAATTACAACCCAGTTTGTATGCTGAAAGTGAATCTGAAATGGCATTGACAAAAGCTTCTCGAGCATCTAATAATGACTTTTCTGTACTACGATCGACAGCTAGACAAATGTAAATAATAACACATTTTTAGAAATATGTTTATTAGCAAGTTAATTATCAACGTTTTTTTTTGCAAATATCTCACCCATTTTAGCTATCAAACATGTAATGGCCTGTTGATCGGCATTTTGAAAAATGTCATTCAAATTTTCTGTAACTGGCACGCACATGGTATGTACCCGAATTCGTCGTTCGGCTGTATAACATTCAGTAAATTTAGATTATTTTAATATGTTTACAACAGAATATATTACCTTGGCTAGATGTATAAAGCAAAGCTGCTTGGAAACATACAACTGGCACACCGTCTAAACTATCTTCAATAGACAATTGCATACCATACGCACTATCAGGATTGACATTCGGTAACATAAGTAAGTCAGAAGAACGAACAAAGAAATTCCCATGGAACGAATGTATCGCTACTCCACGAGTGCAGCGCAACCTCAAGAGAGCTTCAAATCCAATTTTGCGGGATAGGTAACGGTCGAAGCAGTTGATAAATCTTGTTACAACAGTAGGCGATTTGTTATCAAACTGTGGGAAACTGTGAATACAGCCCGCAGAGAACTTTGATATTCCAGCTAAGAATACATAAATATTATTATAAAATATATTGAACCAAACAAAAATATGTAAATTTATATTAATAAACTGTGCTTACAAATGCTAGCAATATCCAAGTATTGTGATGAAATGAAAAACATATCAACAGCAATTTGTTCAGCACTACACTCCAAAGCCAACTTTTTGTAAAAATCTGTAGACGGCGCCATGTGCTGTACACGATCGCTAGTGTTAGCAGCACCACTATCTCTAGGTTCTAAGCTGCCAGGGCCACAATTTGGTAGGCTTGCTTGGAATACTGTGACACGACCGCCTCTAGGCGCCAGTATTTTAAAAGCTGCTTGTAAGGCAGCTCCCAAAGCACAACCAGTATTGTACGTTTCATTGTATTGTTCTGGCAAACTAGTCAGCAAGTCTTTAATTGCAGATTTGTTTTCTTGTAAGGTAACCATTAATCCATCAGGTAGAGGTAAAAATATATCTAAAATATTAAGATTTATTTATTGTACTTAATATTTACATTATTTAAATAACTTGAGAATACTCTCATATATACATATTGACTAGATAGCAAAGATATGAAATCACTGGATACATTGAATCAAAATTGCACCCTCGAAGGTTCAAGAACTAAGACTTCCAAAACATTGGAAAGACAAGTCTAAATGTATATAATATGAGAGTACTCTCAAGTCGAATATAAAATCCAGTTATCATTGAAAACACAAAAAATGAAATAAACGATAAATTAAAACAGATAATTATCTCACCCGAAATGTCACTAACTACGAGTTGCTTTGGTTTTGCCCCATCATTGCTTGCAGCAATTTGATAGAAATGCACAGCCGAGTCATAAGTGATAAATCCAATTTGTGTACGTGTATCACCCGGTATATCATTCGACATAATTTTATTTAAAATTCGATCACAAACAATTTCTAAATAGCCAGTTAAAGTAGCTGTTCTCGATACATCCAAGAGGAATAAATACAAAGCAGGTTGAGGAGGTCTTACCTATAATTTCAATACGTAAATAGTACAACTATGTAAGACAGATATAGTGGAGTAAAAACAAAATGTACTCACCATGTAATCTTGTGAAGCTATATACTCAATAGTGGCATTTTGAATTTCTGGTCTTCTAGATGGATCACCGAGGGTTTTAGTGTAAGGATCAATTTGAAATTCTCCAGGTACTAAAATGTAAAAATAATTTTATAACAATTTTATACTAAAATATCTATAAAGTAAATAACAGTTCATTATAAATTCAATAATGTGCTTACAGTCATTAACTCTGTAACATAGATTACATTTCCAATGTGCATTGTCGATAAATTGAACAAATGGATTGATGTATGATCGACAATTACGGCATCTTGTAATAGTATCACATTGTATCACAGTTAAACGCTAAATCAAATTAATATGAATTATAAACTATTAGAATGTAAAATCAAATATATGTTTTAACTAAAACAAAAATAATTTACTCACTGAAAGGTCTTTGTAAGGATGAATCAATATACCCAAAGGTAATCTACTCTTATCCAATAATGTTTTAGACACAGGAAACTTGTTTAATGTACAGCGGAATATACTAAACCCAAACAGACATAATTTAAAATTTATAAATAATGATTATATTATTATTTTATTTATCATAATCTTAATAACTTATAAAATCATACTCGGGTGAACAATTATCACAATTTGCATATCCTTGAGGCAATTTGATATCTGGTGGTTGAACACCATCTCCCGGTAATATATCTCTTGTTTTTAATAGATCAACAGTGTCATAACCCTAAAACCCCAAATGATTCATTATAATTATACAATTTATTTTTAATGTTAGAAAAATATTACACACCCATGATGAAGCAAACCCTTGTTGTACAACTGAAGGATTTCTGTCTTGGTTATAATATCCTTGCTGTGCCTGTCCAACAGCAGATTGCTGGTAAGCTGTTTGCCCTGAATAACCCATATTATTTGGTTGGGAAAATCCTTTTGATGTTAATTGGACATTTTGTGTAGGATATGCCGACTGTAGCTGACTATTTCCTTGCAATTGATTATTATAACTCGGAGGTAACATTTGCTGTTGTGTTTGTTGGTTATATCCAGAGGGCAAAGTAGGAGGCATGGCCGTAATGTTAGTTGGGTTATATTGTGAATTTTGTAATGGTGGTTGAGAGAGCATTGGATTTATTTGACTTGGATATTTTGCAGTCAAAGGAGGCTGTCCAACAGGTGGTTGAGCTATTTGATTTGTGCTAGCTTGTGTTGGCCATTGATTATTCAATGGTTGGGGTGGATTTGTTTGACCATATAGTAAATTATTATTTGGTAGAATAGACTTTGTTTCAGTCATAGGCTGTGAAGTATATTGACTAAAAGTAGGCTGAGCAGTCATATTGGCAGATTGTAGCATTCCATTAGGTTTAGCTTCATTACTAAATGGCTGTGAAGGGTACTGATTAACCACAGGCTGAGTAGTTGAAATTGAGTTTGTCTGTTGATTAGGGGTAGGTCGTGGTGGATATACACTTCCTGATGATGGTGGAATCGGTGGCATTCCAGTAGTCCTCTCTTGATTATTAAAAGTCGAAGGATATTGATTGGCTGTAGGTGACACATACTTGGGTTGACTACTGAATGATTGAGAAAACAAAGTTGATCCTGGTTGAATAGGTGGAACAATTGAAGGGGGTTGACTATTCAGAGGTTGAGGAGGATAGTGGTTAGCAGCAGGTCGTAATGGAGGCATTTCTGTCAACTTGGATTGATTGTTTAACTGCTGAGGAGGAAATTGTAGAGCTGCTGGTTGAGTAGGCAAAACAGTGTTTGGTATAGTTTGACTGTTTGTCGACTGTGGTGGATAGCGATTATTAGTGGTTTGAACAGGTGGCATTCCAATAGGTTTAAATTGATTATTAAACACTTGAGAAGAATCCTGATGAGCCGGAGGTGGAATAGGTGCCATTTTAGTAGGCACTGGTTGATTACTCAATTGTTGTGGAGGAATTTGAGGAATTCCTGGCTGTAGAGGCTGAATAAAACTTGGTGTTGACTGACTCTGAAAAGGTTGTGGTTGATACTGATTTGCTGTAGGAGGAACAGATGTAACATTCTGTATTGGTTTACTGTTTAGTGGCTGTGGAGCAAAGCGGTTATTCGTTGATTGAACAGGTGTTGGTCCAATAGGTTTGAATTGATTATCGAATAATTGGGAAGGAAATTGATTAGCTGTTTGATAAGGTACAGAGCTTCTTATTTGTTGGTTATCTGATGTGAACTGATTACCTGGTGGTTGTACTAAATTTGAATGTATTGGTAACTGATTAGTCTGAGGATTAAAAACACCCGGTGATTGAATGCTCATAGCATTCATCTGAGTAGACATATTTTGAAATGCAGAAACATGTGCTTGATTACTAACTGGTTGAACTTTTGATGAAACTAACTGGTTCAACGGTTCACTGTCAATTTCTTTTGGTTGAATACTAGTTGTCTGATTCAAAAGCTCTTTACTAGGTGCTTCTGAACTAAAATTAGTTGATGATGAAGAATCAACAGGAAGCTTAACAAACTCATTACATGAAGCATTTGGCTGACTGAAAAATGACTGTATTGATTTTGAACCTGATGATGATGATGCAGCTATGATAGTACTAGCACTCATTGGTGCACTCTGATTATCTGAAACTGTAACATTTGACTTTTCTACTAAATTGTTATCAGTTGTTTGATGTTGATTAAACACTAATGAGCTATTAGCTTCAGACGCAAAATTTGAAAAATTACGTTCAGGATTTGTTTTGAGCTCATCAGAAATTGAAGGTTTTCTAACATCACTAGTTGTTACCGAGTTATCATACTTATAAAGATCACTTGTTTGAGTTCCGTCTTTTATATTTGCAAAGGTTTCGTCAGATAATGGAAAACTATTGTCTGTTGAGTACTGTTGACTTGAGAAGTCTTCAGTTTTTACACTTGATGATCGACTTGAAGGATCCACACTAGAATGTTGTTGATAAAATGACTGATTATTTACACTGCTCGAGTTAAAATAGCCACTAGTGTTTGATGAACGTTGTTGCATTACTGTAGTTTCTGAATTTGCTTGCTGAAGTTCTTCGTTAACAGGGCTATTTAAAGACTGCTTATCGAAGATTGTAGAATTAGCCACATTAGGTTTGTTAGTATCACCTAAAGATTGTTGAGTATTTGTTGCTATTTGAGAAGTAATGTTTGAAGTATGGAAACTATTTGATTGGTAATCCGGTAAAGAAACTAGTTTTGAAGTATCTCCAAACACTGCATTGTTATCAACAGGACATTTATTAACTAAATCAATGTTTTCTAATTTCGTTTTTTGATTCACTAAATCATCTCCTGGAGCTGGTGAAATTGTAGAACTTGACACAAAAGTTTCTATATCACTACTTGGTTTCTGAATAGTAGTCGTGTAATCAATCTGTGTGTGTTGATATGATACATTCTGATTTAATTGAGTTGTTTTATTTAAAGGTGAACTACTTGGTATAATTCCTGGTATTCCACTAGAAGTTGTAGAATTGTTAGAATGTACACTTGTTGGACGAGAAACTTCAGTTGTTGTTTGATGACTAGTTTTTAACTGAACATTATTAAGTAATTCAGACGCAACTGGTTTAAAAGAATTACTAGATGAAAACCGACTTAAAGATTCATTGCTATGTAAATTCTGTTCATTTTGCACAAATGTGTTATCTGCACTGGTGGGATTATTATTTGCTTGACTGATAGATGCTTGTAAAGCAGAAGTGTTCAAACCACTTTTATCATTTGGAATAGTGCTATCAGTAAATTGTTGTTTAGTATCTATTGGAGGTGCACTTTCTGGAACAGCAGATTGAGTAATTACCTCTGGCTGATTCAACTTAATTGATTGTGAACTTTCTTCAGATTGTTTTGTAACAGGAGATTCATGACTACTAAATGGCTGTGAAAATATTGATGTATTTTGTGATGTTTCTGTACGGGAATCAAACATATTAGGCTGTGTTGTATTATTATATGACTGGTTAAAATATGATGTATTGTTAAAATGAGAAACTGGCTGATTGGTATTTTGCCTAGAACTAAATAAATAGTCCTTTGGTGGTGAACTGTATTCATTGTTAGACTCTGCTTGCTCAATTTGATTTTTATTAGAATAATAATTTATTTGCTGCTTTTGACGTACATTATAATCATTAAGGCGAGATTCGAGATTTTCTTTAGTTTGTTTTATTTCATTCTGATCACTGAAACCAGGTGGTAAAGGAATGTCTTCGATATCATCATCGTCTTGGTTGTATGCATTATGTAATATAGAATGATGATCATCAGTATAATCTTCCTTATTTAAATTTAAATCAGCAAATTCACTAGGTACGGGAAATTGTTTGTTTGAAGATTTTAATTCTTCAGTAACATGGCAATTAATATTTGGAGGATTTATAGGAGGTGGGTACGCATGTTTTATCGGTTGTATACTTTCAGAATCTTGGTCAGTACTTTCAGAATATAACGAAGACGTATGTTGAGGTGAACTTTCTGTAGAAGTTTCCTCCGTATCATATTCAATAATTTTTGGTTCAGGATAAGGTGGTTTAACAGAAAAATAGTTAGTATTCATATTTGCAGCTATAGTTCCTCTAGAAAAATTTTTTTCTACGGAGTACGGTTCTGGAATTTTCTTAGGTTGTTGAGGTAATAATCCAGTAAGATGGGGTTGAAGTTGGAAATCTGGGTTAATAGGATAATTTTCAGCATTTGATTGAGCAAGACTGTAAACATCCTGAAAATTAAAAATATAATTTTTAATTCAATAGATTATTTTAAAGCAAAAAACAAAAATCTATAATTTTTGAAAACATCGAAGTGAATTTTGTTTTGATAACCTACATACAAATTTGTATACAAAACATTACAAATTAAATATTTCTCCTCCCCTTTAATATAAATATAAATTTTAATATAAATTAATTTGGTCAGCCAAACAATATTCTCTATTCACATTTCTATACATAATAACTATTATAACCCGCCCAATTCATCTTGAGTCCAACCGCTCATTACTTTTAAATAAAAACATAATGAAAGAATGGGCTTAAGATGTACTGAATGGGTTAGAATAGAAATTAAATTAAGTTTAAATAAATTATTAACATTTTAATTTAAAAAACTTATAAAACAAACAAGTAAAACAAAACTATTTATCTAACCCCGGTTGACTTTTAATCCGATTGGTATTATTGATGATCTGAGATTAATGCACTGTATAATAAATAATTTGGACAACAACTAACATTGAATAATTAAAAAACTATACAAAAAAAAAACATGTTTTGCTTAAGTTTAATACTGATGAACTAGTATTTTAAATTTGTACTTGAAATGCACAATACAACGGTACATTAAATAAAAAAAGCAGACGCAGAAATATAAAAACCAAGTTCAAAAAACTTAAGAACAAAACACAGGAAACAATAAACATACAAATTGTAAACATTATGCTAATGACCTCAAAATTATGTGTAATTAACAATAACAATAACAGCCGAAATTTCAAAAGGTTTTGTTAATATATAATTACTGCTTAACTTTGTTTAAAATACTTTTACTTACTGGAATTGAAGATTGAGAGTTCTCGTATATTCCTTTGGCATTAGTCCTAGGTGGTCCTGAAGAACGAGGTTGATTATTATCCATTTGATAAAAATTATGGTTTACCATTGGCACAGCATTAGGATTGTTATATTTTCTATCGAGAGATATTGAACCTAAGAAAAACACAAATTTTAAAATTGGAGTATAATAAAATAATGGCTTTCTGAATATTTCCTATAAAATAATTTTCTATATTTCAGCAAAACGGAAAAAAAATTAAATTTTAGTTAAAAAAACCGTAATTTTAGATAATTTTTGTAAATATTAATATATATATATATATATATATTTTTTTTTTTTTAAAGCTGTTATTTCCAATTATTGATATGCAATTATTAATTGACTATTATTATAAAACAGTAGAAGACAAAATGGTCAAGTACCCATACTATTTTATTTTATATTTTATATTACATAAGCGTATCTATTTATTAAAGGAAATTTTAATAGAAAAATAATTAATGAATTATTTTTAATTTTAATAAGACCTTCAAGCACGGTCCACTTATTTGTGATTATGGTTTTGTATCATTATTATCAAACAAAATTACAATTTTTTACTTTATCTGCTATACCTAGTACTGATAAATTATTAACACAGGAAGTTATCAAGTGCTAAAGACAATGAATGTATCAAAAAAAGAATAAAGACTAAATAGTAGATTAGGCATGGTTTCTACAGGCTAGATGAAAATATTAGAAATTTTTTAAATGACATTCAAATATTACAACACTACTTCTAATTAATAGTTTTACACGATAATTTTAATTGATAACATTTTAGTCGAGTATTTGTAGATATTTAATTACTGATAAAATAATTATGCTACACAGATATGCAAAGCATATAATTTGTACCTACTTCAAGAACCATTTGAAATATTTTTATAGTGGATTTTGATCTATAGTATAATATAATGATAACAATTATTGAGAGCAGGCTATAGATTACCTAATAAAATCTGTGAATTTTCAAGTAGTAAATTACTCTAACAAAAAATAAATACGTATATTAAATATAAATTTGTTTTACCAAAATCATTTTCTGTCTGCATGATGTTAGCAGGTTGATTGTACAACGTTTGGCCATTGACGAGAGGATTCGCTGTTACATTAACACAAACGTTTAATGAATCCGAAAATAAAAATATTGTTAAACAAAAAAACAAAGACTAGTACTTACGGTTTTGATGAAAATAATTGTATCTAGAATTTGGGTCCATGATTTCCCGTGGCACAAACCGACCTAAAAACCTGAAAAAAGTAAAAAAAATGGTCGAACTTGACACGATTTGAAAAACTGGCCCAAGGTTTTCCAGCGGCTTATATACGTATATAATTTAATAAAAAAATATCTTATCAATCCAAACTGAGTAATGCAAGAATCACCAACCTGTCAAATTATCGGTTTCAAAAACGATAGTACTCTGCGATGTACGTTAAAAGCATAGCCGGACGGATTTAATACAAACAACACGGATAAAAACAAAACAGTAAAATTCACAAAAATATTAGCTGCACTTTGTGACAATTCGGAGAAAATTCGGCGACGTATTTGGTGATTATTAAGACGAAACTTGCTTCCTTTCCATTATCTATAGAACACCACGTCACACTCACACACGCACATGACCTAGTCTTGTGATTACAGCGAAAATGGGCGGGCGGGAGGACAGACGGACGGTGGCAATAGTGTCCGAACGCACCCACAAACGGTTACGTGGAACACCTTACCAGTACATACGGATTTTCAAACAAACATTTTTGCTTCGACTGCATACTATGCGAATAAGTATTTTCTTTAATTACTCAATAAGTAGGAAACATATTCCGCGAATTTGATTTGCATTTTTTAATCCCATTCACACCGAAAATAATACTTTACCATTCCGACTGCCGACACTTGTACCACTAATCGAATAATCGCAAACGCAGCCATTGCCGTCATTGGGTAAATACCTAATAATCGTTTTTTAAATCACAATGCATTATACATTATGGGCAATGCTGAATGCAGTCAGTTGGCTATTATACAAATTACAAACTATATTTTAATTTTTATCTCCAATTTTTTTATAACAACTATATCGATAGGTACATAACGTCAGAATATATCATATTGTTATAAATTATTCTAGTTAATGTTTTCGTTTATAATTGCAAATGGAGGGGAACACTGTTTCTTTTATTACTTATTATATCTTCTCGCTTATATAAATAATTATAATAGTAAAAAATTCTAATAATTAATTTTTTGCTTGAAATTGGTCTTATCGTAAAAAACATGGTCAGCTAAAACACAAGAGAACCGAAGAAGGGAGAGGCTGAGGAAAAAACTCGCTTTTTAAATTTCCATTAGGTAATTAAGTGCTGTGTTCCCTCTTAACCACACTTTAATTATTGTCTATTAAACCTTGGTTTTAAATAGTAATAACTCAACAATATGGTTCTATGGACTATGGTACATAGTTTGTACATGATATATTATGTACATATTAGTATTCGAATATACACAAACACATTAAGTACCCCTATAATTACTCAGTTTGGTTATTTAAAGCTTTAAAAACTGTTATGATAAAGCAAATAATATCGTTAGTTTTAGATTTTTTTAGTGTACCAGAATACATTTTAATTCAAATTTAATTTTGAGTATCAGCACTAAAAGCAAATATATATTTAATTTGTTCTACTTGGCTATAGACACATACATCATAACGTCGCATCATTAAACAATACAATTTTGAACGATTCTTGCTAACTTTCAGTATAATGACAGTTCTTTATTGATTATTTTATTAGATATTTGAAAATATAATAAACTATATTATAAATACATTTGAGACGAAATTAGTTGCTGATATTTAATTATATTTTACGCATATAAGTTATTACAAGTGCATACATTCAATAATTCAAACATTTATTTATTTAAATAAAAGGCAATAAAATTGTAATATTAAATTAGGATAATTTAAAAATATTGACTTCAGTTCTTGATGCACAATTTTTTAAACAACTAACTTAGGACTTTAGTAAAATCTATGGCTATACTGTCAAAGGATTTGATTTAAAATTATGAATGTATGTTATACGCTAATGTACTTAGTACTTACCTAACTAATTACTAAACTTAGGAAATGTTGATGTAGTTATGATAAATGTGGAATTATAATATGAATTATTAATTTATTAGATCGTATATTTGTAAAGAGTATACATTTATATTAAAAGGTATACAGTCCTACAAAGTTTAAAACCTTAGTACTTAATGTGTAAATAAACGTTTTACAATAAATGGGTATTCAATAATTCGGCTGCACCTGAATAAATAAAACGATAAAAACAATGTTGTTAACATTTTTTGGGTCACCTAAATTAAATACTAATTTTTTATATCTAAAAAGTATACTAGATAAAATTATATGTCAATGTAATATTTGGTTAAATTACGTTTTTGATTTTGTGGTTTTTGTTAAAATATTTGGTTTTATCCTATCTCTTTATAATCTTACAATTAGCACAACAAATTACGAATTTATAACTTACTTATAACCTCATTAAAAGTTGTTGTTTCTTCTCTCGGTTACCTAACTAATTAGTAATGTATAACATATTATTATAGTTATATTAATAAATTGTCTAACAGACAATAGTTTAAATTTTCTTTAAAAAAAATATAATATGATATAAAATAAAATAATCTAACTTGTGACATATCATACATGTGAGCTACGTTATTGTCTATACTAGACTCCTTAAGAAAAAATTGCTTAACCATACGTTTTGTAAAAGTAAAAGTGTTGCTACTGAAGTTTATTCATGCATTAAGTATAATAATTTAAGGAGTAAAATATGATTAACTTACTTAAAAAAATATATATAGGCACAAACAAAATTAGTTATTTAACTGATCTTATATTAATGATTAATTACATGCAACAATAACTATTAATGTCATTTTTTTATGCTTAATTAGCGATGACTGACATATGATGTTGAAATGGTAATCAATTTTGGTTCTAGATGATAAATGGAAACATAAGAATACTATTCTCAGTAGCTATAATTAATTAATATCAATATTAATTACGTACCTATACTTACAACATATTTTGCTTATGAATTAATTGTTTTATATTTTTTAATTATTTGCCGTTGATTTGACGATAAAGCTATCGAACGACTGATGATTAAATTTTAAACATTCATAATTAATGATTGCACGTCCACTTAATATAAATTATATTTAAATTAAATAATATTACCCGGCCAATTCTGATAGTTGGTAGCATAAATTAATTAACTAAATGAAGAATATACGGGTATATACACTAGCATTTATTAAGGCGCATTGTATAGGCAATTTTTCTCTAAAACTTAAATTAAGCTAACATTTTTGAACCATAGAAAAGAAGGATCTATTTTGATATTTAATTTTTTTTTTAACTTTTATAAAGCATATAGATCTATTTTTGTACGAAAAATATGTTTCTTTTTTGAACAGAACTTCCCTAAAAATACTTCGATACAAGTTTTTAAAAAACATTTAAATTCTTCATAACATTTTCAAAGCATCGATCGTGGCACAATTTTAAAATTTTACCACGATCGATGCTTTGAAAACGTTGTGAAGAATTTAAATATTTTTTTCAAAACTTAAACCGGAATATTCTTAGGTACGTTTGAAGTAGAATGAGTTGTTGTCGACCAACAATACACAGGTGTAGAAGGTGTCCCTTAATTTTAATGTGCTTGAGATATTTTCATGGAAAGATTGAATGGATATTTTGTTTTCATGTTCAAATGTTCGATTTTCACAATATGCCGTCAAAATATACCAACGAAAATCCCGTTAAATTATCTGGCACAGTAGTTAAAATCGTTTTGACGGTCCGTATAAGTTGTGGCCAAACTGCAGGCAACCGTTCCAGCTGTTGTGTGATATCGATTTGCGCACGCCCCTCCGTGCACTGTATTAACCCAGTGGACTCGTTGGCGCCCCGTATCATTTCCCTACCAAATACGATGAGTTTGTTTACCCCGTTTGCCTTAGTTTTATTATACGGTTGACTTTCGTGTACTAAAAACCCCGGAGAAATGGTGAGTAGCGGCAACATGCACGACGGGTGTTCGGCCGAATCGTTGGACGTGCACAGCTCAGAAGACCAAACGTACAAGCCTTTGCTGGAGGCGATCAAATGCGGCGACTTCGGCGAATTCGAGTGTGCTGTTGACAAATGCGGAAGCGAAGCCTTGATCTTCCGTGACGAATGGGGCTATACCCCGGCGCATTGGGCGGCGCTATACGGAAACGCCGAAGTGCTCAGGTACCTCATAGCCAGGGGTATCACCGTGGACATGTCATGTTACGGTATCCAGGGTTCCAAACCCATTCACTGGGCGTGCAGAAAAGGGCACACTGCTGCCGTACAAGTGTTACTCCAAGTATGTCTTAAAAAGAAATATCTAGAATAAAACATAAATTTGGATAGGTAACATAGCACAATAGTTGGACATTTGAGTTTTAGGTATTTTATTGAGACCTTTATAAAAAGCCATGCACTACAAATGTAGCCCTTGCAATTGTATTAGTTTCTCTATGTACACGCGATTAAAGTTTAAGCACTTAGTTATTATAATAAAACAGCCGAATGGAAATGCTTTGCTTCATGGTTCAAAAGTTCCTAGTATTTTAGAAAACCCCTTTAATTAAGTTTTAAATCACGAGGTTACTGTAATTGTTCTAATACAAAAATATGTTTACATAACTTGCAAGTTGTAATTGCCAAAAAAAGTACACTTGTCTCCGAATTTAAAATTATGAAATTTGTATTACATAAATCGTCGTTGACAGTATGGTAAAAAAACAGCTGATCTATTTGATAATGTTATCATTTAGAATATATATTTTTACAAACAATGTAGTCGCTATGAAATTGTATTAAAAATAGTTTATTATGTTTATTGATTATATTAAGCATGTTTAGAAACGCTAGATTGCACTAAAAATATAGGAAAAAATATACCATATTGTTTTGTACATTGTTTTGCATATTTAAATCGAATTTTAAATTGTATACACCCTCGGCCCTCCCTTCACACTAAAAATTAAAACCCAATATCAACATTTTAATTCTAAATGATAACCCTTATATTTTAATATTTGTTTATGGACGATTAAAATAAATGTTTAAACAATTTTTATATCTGATGGTTTTTAGGCAAATGTGCTTATGAAATAATTTTAGTGCATATTTTTATCAAATTTTCGCTAAAAATAATTTTCAAAGCATTTTTATTATTTATCATAAAAATGTCATAAAGTTTAAAAACTTTTATACTTCAATAAAATTATATTAAAAAAATGTAATTTTCGTTTTTAAACAAGCAAGTATTAACATTACAACTATATAGCCGGTTTTATTAATAATACTGAAATAATTTTGAATTTGTACGTTGTTAATAAAACAACTTTTTTTCTTTAAAATTTTAGTTCTACACATGTGTAGTATTATAACGTTATATTAGAAAGAAATACAACCCTAATTAAATGTTATCTAAATAATGCGTTTTAATTGTTTTTTAAGGCTGGAGTGAATCCTAACGTGTCGGACTTTAAAGGTTTGACACCTTTGATGACGGCTAGTATGTTCGGTAAAACGTCTACAGCAAGTTTTTTGTTGGGCATGGGCGCTATGCATCATCTTACAGATATTAATGGAGACACAGCGTTACATTGGGCCTCATATAAAGGATATTCAGAGTTAATTAGATTACTATTGTACTCTGGAGCCGATCTAACAAAGGCCGACAATTTCGGATCCACGCCTCTTCACTTGGCCGCTCTTTCGGGAAACGCTAAATGCGTTAAGATACTCTGTCAAAATGTAAGCAGCCTTGTAATTGAGCACAGTACAATGATATAACTAATTTTATTGTAACACATTTTAGAGCCAAATTTCGTTACAACCAAGAGACAAAAACGGTAAAACGCCATTAGGACTTGCCGTGAACCATAAGTATGAAGACATTGCCGGATTACTAAAAAATGAGATTAACAAGAGGAAAAAATGGATGATGCCCGTTCGAAAAGCATTGTAATAAAATATTAATTCAAACTAAGTTTAAATAATAGTTCTTTAGAATATGCGCATAAATTATTTTCAGTGACACGATTTTTGCGAGTTCAGCTTACTCGAAATGTCCTCAACTATTTTTCTTGTGTTCATTCCTAATATGGTGGTACCCTCTTTATCTGTATAGAGTAAGTATAGTCTGTTCAACAAACTAAGCGATAAAATATCCATTTGTTCGTTTGTTTACTGTTATACCGTTATACAGGTGATCCCTGCTACGTGGAACATAACCAGAGGTTGTCATTATACTTACTTGGCATGGAATGTATTCATGTGGATTAGTTGGCTAATGACAAAATATGCTGATCCCGGATACCTTCCAACCAACTCTGGGAGTTATATTCAAACAATAAGACAGGTACAAATAAGAAATAGCTATCAACAAATATTATATATATTGAATTTAGATAACTTTTTATCAAAAATACTAGCCTTAACAGTAAAATATAAATCAATTGAGTAGGTACGTAAGTACGAGAATTAAAAAATGTCACGACCCATGTTGCAAATAAAAATATTTAAACTAGTAATAATTTGACAAGTAAAATTGTAATGCTATCCAATTTATTTAGTGACTAAAGTAATAACACTAGAGATTTATACAAAAAAAAAATAATACAATTAATGAAAATATAAATAACAGTAATCTATTAAGACATGTTTTTCATTATTATCACAATAAAATAACGAAAAACAAAGAATACCTTGTTTAAAAACGATAAGAATACATGTTATGGCAGAATTAAGTAGAGGCCATAACGTATTTTTTAATTCACGAGTTCAAAAATGTGTTAATTATTGCAGTATTACGCTTTACGCAAGAAATATGTTTAAGGTTATTACTTGTAAAAATAGTTAAAAATGTATTTGTATTCATTAAAACTAGCCATTTTGACATGGGAAACATATTCTTAGTTAATAGACGGCACGTATCTATTCTTTACATACATTGTAGAGATTGTTGTTATTACGTTTATAATTTGAAATCTTAATTTATATTTTCTAAGTTGTTAAATTCACATGATTAAACCAAGGTTTGAGAACCGCGTAACGTCCTACTGCGTGAACAAGGCCTTATGTTATTAATTTAGAAGAGTAACAGTATTAATTGGTTGGCATTTATACGGGTTTCTTGAAATAAGTTGAATAATATTTTCAGGGTTAACCCCGTTTTACTTGCAAGTGAAATGAGAAATAAAAATACATTTTTGTTTTTTTCGCAGTTGCCGTTCTATCCCTGCGACATGGGCACCAAACAGGATATATTGTCTAAGCTTTGTCACACGTGCCGTTGCGTGAGGCCACTAAGAGCAAAACACTGTCGACTGTGTAACAGATGCGTCCAACACTTCGATCACCACTGTCAATACGTTACTAATTGCGTGGGTTTGGGAAATAGGTAAATTTGTCGAAAATTGTTTGTAAAACAATAATATTGTAAGCGACCACGCAATAAGGACATCGCGACTATATTCCCGCAGGTGTTGGTTTTTTTGGTTCGTCATCAGTCTGGTGATGAACTGCTCGTTTGTCATTTACATGACTTGCTGCACGATAAGCGTCGACGGGTTCGACGTTCTTTACGTATTGGCACTCCTGACAGCCGTACCCTTTACCATGCTCAGTCTGGCCATGACTGCCTCGATAGTACGTTACGCCGCCGCTAACTTACGCGGCGTTACACTTTATTAATTATTAATATATTTTGCCAATCCAAGCACGTTACTAATTATTGCGCGTGTGTTTGGTTTGCAGTGCGCGAATGCGTTAATGAATTTGACCAGAAACGAGATGATCAACTACAAAAAGTACTCTTACTTGAAAAACAACAAAGGCAAGTATTACAACCCGTTTTCCAGAGGTGTCGTCATCAACGTTCTGGAATTTTTCGGATGCACCCGGAACCGACTGGAATACGATGGGACCAGATACTGTTACGATTGAATTTATTATTACTTTTTTTTTTTAAGAAAAACTTTCATAATTTTTTTTTTTCAAAAGATATCCATGCATTTTGATAATATTTTTAAAAAAGGCTCGACGACGACAAACTACAATTTTCACTCAATTCTGCTTGAAACTCACGTGCCGTCCGGACCGTTAATATTATATAATTATCGTTATAATACTGCCATTTATTTAAAAACGTTTCTCTCTTTTACACAATGCCGACGAGACGGCGTTACACGCGTGTACAAAAATACACGTTATATATTATGTTTAACAGCGCGTCTGCTTGGGTTGTTCGATGAGGGTAGGTAATAAAAGAGCTTTTTATAGTGATAAACCGGATTTAGATCCATCCATAAACGACGACGACGATGAAGATGATAGCACTGCTGCGGTTATGAAACCAGTTTTAGTATTCAACGCCAAAAACCGAAGCATATTATGATATATTTTAATCATTCGAACATCGTAATTGCGATGTTATACTTACACTTTCTACAAGTTGTGTATACCGATTACCAGCAATACACAATACGTTGTTTTATCGACCATTTGCATACAATAAAATGGCGTTTTATTATATTAAGTACGCGTACAGCGTGTACACAGGCTCTTCGTTGTTTTTTTCCCAGCACAAATGATGGAGTGCGCGTAGTAAAACTATAAAAAGAAAGGTGGGTATTTGTGAAAAATAAAAACTCGCTTTCGTTCGTTTATTGTATTTTTATTTTTATACTATATATATAATATATGTTTTCGGAAAAAAAAACACACTGATTTGTACGTTCGTTAGTATTATTATATTAGTATTTATAAATTATTATTAATCTTTTTATTAAACATAAAAATATAATGTATAAAATAAATTAATGTTTGCTCAATATTATAATATAACTAACATATTATATATATATATATATGAGTACACCTTAGTACGTGGCACATTTTTTTCAAGAATTTCTAAATTACATTACAAGTGCGATTCATTATGGCAAACATTTTTGCCGGGTGAAGACAATGGAGCTATAGATTTATTGACCGCGGTATACAATGGCTAAAATAATCACCAGTTGCGCAACTCGCTATACTTATACTATTAAATTCGCTCATGATTTCACCATAATACTATCATTACGGGCGACCCTATTGTTTTTGATTCCGCACTGACCGGACGATTATCATTTCGGGTAATGTGTATAGATCACACGCACTAAAATCGAATACTAAATCAAGTATAAACCCAAAAGGTGTTATTGTCATTAATATTTGTTCGGGTTAGGTAAGACCGTATAAGGGCATAACTACAAACGTTCCTTAGATCCCCAGTTGGGGGGCTATAGAATAATTCATCACTCGTCGAATGATAATAAATACAATTAAAATAGGTAATACTCAATGTTGACTAGCTGTACACATTAACGAGACTGAGGCGTCGTTATAAAAAGAGACTTGAGACCATTTGCACTGTAGTAATATAATATAACTTACCGTTAACGACGAAATTTAAATAAATATAATTATAATTGAAATTTTTCAATATTAAAAGTGAAAATTAACCGTTATGTTCAAAATAAAGGCCACTCGGGGTTTCAAAACAAAAACTATAGGTTATTTATTTGTAATACAAGTCTCCAGTCATAACAAACTCCTATGCGTCTCCGATTATCTTGACCTTCAAATTTCTAACGAGACCCACCGAGCTATATTATTACGATTTACATCTAGTTTTAGGCGAAAACAGCTACATCGTTATCATTTTATGTAGACACAGAAAATACACGGCGTAGGTTGTACGCAAAACATCTTTTCTTACTCGAATGTAAAGATAATTTACCTACAACGACTTGTCAATCTGTATAGGCTGTTTTGAGTATTATTAAAGTATATACATAATGCTGTCGCGGATTGATCTAACATATTATGATTATTGCGTATACTGTTAGGAACGTGGGGCAGGGGGGAGGAATTATCGGGTTAGTTGGGTCTGGGATCGTAAGGCTCGGCGTCGAGACCCACGTACCGGTTGTTCTTCCTGTGCACGAACCCGGTACCCGGTGCAGTGTTGTAGTAAACCACCCTGCGAATGCCGAACGGGTCGATGTAACCGAAACTGCCGGCGCGCGTGTCGCCCGCGTCGTTGGACTGTTCTTCGTGGTAATGTCTGGGCAGATAGTACTTGAACCCGTTGCGAACGAACGACACGCCGTCGTACTGGGCCTCCGCCTGGGATCCTTGCGCCGACAAGTCCACCACTTTGCGGTATGCCGGCCGGAACGTTTGCGGTCGCAGCGGCTGTTCGTACAGCGGCGACGCAGTGGTCGAGGGCGTGGACACCCTACGTTCGAAACCGGAGGCGTCGGCGTCGCCGTCCACGGCTATCGAGTTGACGTCCACGGGCCGCACGGTGTAATAGTCGGGCGACACGCTGCTGCTGGGTCGCCGCCTGAAAAACGGCGAGGACGTAGTCGACGGGAACCGCAACGATTGGTCCTTGTCGGACGGGTAGATGAACGGCGAACCGCGCCACGACGACTGCCTAGGGTGTTCGGCGACCACCACCGGCTTAGAACGGTACGGCGACACCGTCACGGCGGTACCAGACACTGGCGGAACGTACTTGGCCTGCGACACGGCCTGTCCGACTGGCGCTTGCGTGCCAACGAACAGTTTTTTGTTCCTGACTATTCTGTAGCCTAAAAAATACATTAAAAAATAATTAATAAATAAACATAAAAAACTTCAATACACGTTGGAAGTTTGACTATCAACACAATTTAGTGCGTTCTACACACCAAAAGTGTTATAAATGGAAATTTAGGATGGAATAGTCTAGACTCAGTTAGCTGATAAGTCTTATTTATTTCGATTCGATTTTTAATTTTTATTTCTAACGTCCGTCAATTATTAGTATTTTAATATCTATATTTATTCATATTACTTTGTATGATCACAATTCAGCGCCTAAGCAAATGGATAAGTAAACATATTTTTTGGATAAGTACTTTAAGGTAATACGAAATAACTTCAATCCTTTAACAAAATAGTTGTAAATTAGTGTCGTTAACATAACACAGGTCGCTTATAGTGATTTGTGATCATTGGTTTATGTCAGTCATAGTAATAAATAGTAATGTATGTTCGCTTATTATAAGTGGGTAAAATGAAACTAAGGTTAATCGACTTGACCACAATAAACGGCTTCTACTGGAATGAAAACTGATTATTTATACTATCATCATAGCTGTTATTCAAATGCATATAATAGCATATGTACTGACATTAACAAAGCAAAACAACTTTTTTATGAAGTTGTAACTTCTGTAAACAATAGTAGTAATTTATTATTTATGGAGATTATTACAGACTACAAGAAGTAAATGAGATTTGTGGGTACATTTTGTATTTCTGACTTAATCTTAATGTTACCTAAACTATTGTACAATAATATGAATACATTTTTTTTTTTTACTTCGATTTTAGCTTGATTAAAAACCCAATTAATATTGTCATTAACCGATTAAATAATGATTAAAGTTTTCATTTATTTCAATTAACTATTAAAACAGACTTCCTCGTCATCTTTTAAGTTTGTTTAAGACTAACTAATAATTAGTAATAATTACAAACTTCAACTTATACTAACACACAGGGTGATCAGTTAAATTTCTTTTAAAATAATTGCAATTCTGTCATTTTTCTTTTGGAAAGTGGAGACACTTTAGTTTATGTTATTTCACAATATTGAATATTAGATAATATTCAAATGTTTACTCTTTTATTTTTGCAAAGCTCTACAAACTTTTAAAACTTCTTACTTCAATAGTAATGTAAAATATATTTATTTAACTTTTTAGATTAAGAATAATTTGCAGATAAAAATATTACTACACTTCCACCCTTTCTCCCGTCTTAAATTTTTAAATTTAATAACTTTAAAAGTAATTATCCAGAACCGGTTATCGACTAGTCAAAATTTTCAGCAAATTATTCTTAATTAAATAAAGGCATACGTTGTAATTTATGTTTTAAAAGTCGATATAGCTCTGGAAACTAATAAAAAAGGTAGGAAATATATTTACTAATTTTCTAATATTTAAAAAATTTATTCAAAAAGAGAAACTACAAAACAACAATTTATTTTCCGAGAAAACGATTGTCTTGAGTTAAATTGATTACCCAGTAAAAGTAACGTTAACGGTTGTGAATTATATCAGCCTATATGTCTTCGTATATTTCTAGATCCTTATATAATACAGTTTAAAAGATGCATAAAACAAAAGACGAATTAATGTTTATGCTAATAATTAATGTGATATTATGACGGATCGCGGTACATTCTTTACATAAATCACGAGTTGTACGACTTACCCTTCGAGTCAGCTACATAGTCGTTTAGTCTTAGGTAACCGTCTGCGTCCACCCACCCGTAAGAGCCGACCACGGTGCCGTCTTGTAGCCGTCTCTCTTTCCGGTACTGTCCGCTGATCGTTTGGTATTTAAAGTATCTTTCGGGCCCCTCGTCGGTTTGTATGTGATACTGAGTGTTGGGCTCCGTGTCCCATCCTCCGTCAATTTTGGACGCTGCCAATCCCAAAACTGCCAGCTGTAACACACAAAAACGTATACATCAGCTATTGGTTTTATGTAAAAAAAAAAAAAAATTCATAACATTATATTTTAGGGTAACAGTAATAAAATATTATCTTGACCTAGAACTGTGTGAAAATCCTTAGTAATAAAACTAAGCGTCCCAGTAGTGAGTGTACTTTTAAGTTATATCACTTGTTCTCGGTTACCACGCGCAAACGAAAGGGTCTGACGGAAATCGTCCGTAGCTTAAATATTTCCCAAGCCGGTTCGGGTCAAACCTGTGTACAATGTTTTTTTTATAACTGAGCACTTACATAATTCACGGAACACGCGCATAAATATGATATTTTTTAGATTATAACTTCCTGTAAAACCGCACGTGGACGTTTATGGGCCGAACCGACGACGGTACCCCCAGCGGGAATTCTCCTGCAAGGGACCCAAAACCACGGCGCATGGTACCTACACCGTACCTGATAATAATTCGTGGTAATCTTCCAAGACGGTCATAATACGATATTATGATTTTACTTACAAATTATACGGACACGGTAATAATAATTATTCGACGGGTGGATGACCGACCGGCCGGACAAGACAAAGCAAACGAGCACCGGTACCTTTGACGGGTACACAAGGATATTTTTACATAGCCGGTCCGTACCTTTTATAGTATTCTGCCGTTCAGTTCCCAGCTCATGCCGGCGTACCTATCCGTTTCCTTGGTGTTCCCAACGATCGTCATTCCTTTGGAGTCAACCCGCGGTGTTCACATTTTTATTTTTTATTTTGTAGAATGCCGCGTTACAAGTATATAGGAGGTACACCTCCCTGCCCGTCCAAGTCCCAACCAACAATATAATGTATAAGCCATCGCGTGCACTGCAACGCAAATAAAATGCACCAAGCTTTCTGAGCAATATCCTTTTTTAAATTTTTTTTGCATAACGTTATCGGCCGCAGACAAGTTGTATTTGCATGCATGCATAATAACGCGAAAAGACTATTAATATTTTACCGTTTAAGTATAACCGTACCGAAAAGCTGTTTATTCGACCCGATAGGTTTACAATATTATGGTCCAAATGTAAGCTTAAGAACATTGTAAAGAATTTCACCTAATAAAATAATATATCCAATTATACAGGTTTATATTGTCTCGTACAGTGGCAGACCTATATTAATGGGAAATTAGAAGGTCGGCTAATCCATAGTTTATGGTCTATCTGATTGACCTACACGTCAAAACATAGTAATTTAATAATGACTTAAGCAAACACTAAATTTAGCTACCACTTATGATACACTTTATCATTACCCTGGAATGAAACTTATCCGGTAATAAACGACCCATTAACTGCATACGGAATTTATATTACAAGCGTGCTGACTCGTAAATTTATAACCCTTGGTTACCACTTACTTAAAGTGCATTGATACTAACAATAATGTAATCATTTTGTCAATTTGGAAATCGTACTTGGTTATAATTTGATATTTCACTTTTCTAAGCGGGCACAATACTTACAGCAGAGTTGAAGTTTTAATAGAAATGTTTTAAAATCGCGCACCAAATACGGCCATTATTAAGAATATTATATTGCTCTTTTTGCCTTTAATGGACATGATAGCAGTTCAACTTTGTAACCGAGTTAACTGCATAATAATAATTTAATATTATATTTTTTTCGATATCGCTTTACATAATTGTGTGGGTATGACAACTATGTGCTTGAACTAAACGGATTAACAATGACTACAATGTACCACAGCGAATATAATATTATATTCAATAAATAGTATATTACAGTAGGTACCTTATGGCCTAAAAATAATTTTCTCAATAAGTTTGCGACTAAACTTACTATACAAATATATTTATTTATAATGCTTTTATATGCTGTCACTAATATACATTTGTGTTTGTATACAATTTCTAATTCTGGGGTTAGGTTGAATTCAAATGAAGGAATTGAACTACATATTTAATTTGAATTAAGTTAATGCGCATTGAACATGCGTTTATATGCACCTAATTCATAAATTAACATAATTCAAAAAATGAATGCGCATTAATGACTACATAATAACGTATAAAAAAAATTAACAGAGATCACGGTAAAGGTGTTAAATACCACAGTTACACGTAGCCAATAATTCGAAAACTTGCAAATAAAGTGTGATTAAGATCCGGATGAACTCATTTTTAATTCGAATTAGCTTAATGCGAATTAATTACTTAATTCTATTACGTTTACATACAATCGTGAATTAACGTTATGTCCACCCTGTCAATACGAATTAAGTTAATTAATGCACATTAAAACAGGTTTATATGCACGTTAATCCTGGTAATCATTCGTATCAACGGTTGCGTGTAAACAACCAAACCCGATTTTAATGCTCGTTAGCATGATGCGAATTAACTAATTCTAATTGTCAAATCAATAAATATATTACTTTGAATTAAACATTGAAGTGCGCGTAATTATTGCCAATGTGCATTAACTCAACTCGCATTACGTTAATGCAAAATAACAACTGCGTGTGAACGTGGTAATTTCGTATAAACATAATTGGCATTAACAAAGTTCAAATATGGTCTGTTAAAAATGTTTCCGCCATACACTGAGAAGTATTAAAAAAACAATTGCACACTCCTTTATTTATTTTTTCACTCTTTACTACGGATAATGATTTTTATTTTTTATAATATCTTCCTAATAATAGGTACTCCAATTTTTATTAAATTAACTGTCGACATTTTTTTACTCCCGAGTACCCTAATTAGCTATAATTATAGTTCAAAATTGTGTTTAACGTATTACAGCATTGTTTGAAATGTCGCAATAGTTTAACTGGTATTTAATGACAGGATTTCGACCGTTCCATTTGCCTTATCATTAACCCAATTTCTTGCGCGGGCCATTATAACAATCACGAGTGACGGTCGATGGATTAGTGATGGGATACAAAAAACTATCGTACCGTCTTATAAGGACGGGGATCGGTTTGACGATAGTTTCCGGGGTATGTTTCCCGAAAGAAGTTGAAACCCTGTCGCTGAGGCGGTTATGACTTGTGATTTTATGAAATTTACAACAGTAGGTGAGCGAAACGCCAATTTGTAAAACTTTATCCTACAGCTATGTTATTCCACTGAGCACAACGTGTCCGCTGTGGACTTCTTGTATTGTGCGTACATGTATGGCGCAATTTTGACGTTAAGTCAATACACGTTAAACCCACGCTTTCGCATCACTGAAACGTAGACGGTTGTTTCTTTTTCTGACACTTACAACAACAGCAGTATAATAACATAAATAATATTATAAATGTGGCCCTAGAAAAACGGATTGGCGGTGTTGTAATTCCTTTGGTGGTGCTTCAAGAGACTTCAATTCTTCCGAATTGTACAGTTTAATAGGTTTCCCGCAGATTGTACTTAAAACCTCCACTAACAACTTGTGTCTATTTAAGTTTACCGCCTACACTCTATGCCTGTGTTATTTAAAATACACATGTGTTTAACTGGACAATAATATCGACATAACGCCGAATAAATTAGGTAACATCATTCAGATTATGTAACTGTCATCAAAAACCAAACAAACTGAGTATAGCACTTACGCAATCCGTACAATGCTTGTCGAAAATCCGTTTTTAGACCATTGTTTTATGCTTAAAGACTGCACGTGGACGATTTAAAAACAATAATTTAAAAGCCAGCACCGTTGGCTGTACAGCGTCAACGTTGCTGCTCTTCTCTGCAGTGGAAGACTGAAGATTCATTTCGATCTTAACCTGGACAACTCGATATCGGTGCACCGGCCGGAGTGCATAATCGACAGTATCGTTTACCGTAGTTTAAATAAAAAATAAAAATAAAAAAACCGTGTTCTATGGTGTGAAACGCTTTGGGAAATTAAAAAGAGCCGTAAAATACTTTTCATCATAGGCGATCGACGGGATTTAATAAAAAGCCGTTTCTCAAAAAATATACTAATATTATAATTTATAATAGTACCTTCACTCGAGAGCTGTTAAACTACATATTATGCGGATTGCACATTTGAATGGCCATAATTAAACCTAAGAGAATAATTATTTATGTACACGCACATATTATGTACGTAACGTAACACTTGATAACAACAAAAACCACAACAGCAACGGGAATATAATACAAATGTCTACCAGATCCGTTCATAAATTATATATGGGCGCTCGTCTAGTGCTGTGTGAACAATTATATATGGTTCGCGGGTGTCAAAACGCAACAATATTACAAATGTACATATGCACATATAAATATACTTACAAATTATATATATATATACAACAAAAACACTATATATATATAACGATGACTTCCGTGAGAGGACCGGCAGTAGAAAGTTTTGTAGCGCTCAGTCACGATTGTCGTCGCTACCGATTCGGCGGTCGAGGAAGTACCATAGCACTGTATTATTCTCATTTCATAAACATACATACACACACACACACACACACTCTAAATAGGTTTATATGTAAATATTATTACTGTGTATTATAAAACGTTTTGAAACGTAGATCCGCAGCGATGCGGTTGACACTGGCGCCGACCGTATCGGACATGAAGCGCATTATACCGATCTGTAGAGCACACTGAGCGAATTCTCTGCTGTAATCATAATCTTAATTTATCCGTTGCAATTTGCAAACCTAGGAATTGTCCTTATGGACTATGGTCCTTTTTTTATTATATTATGGTGTAAACTAGTTAAAGTTCAAGCTCAGCAGCATGCACTTGCAGTCGTTGTCACATGATCACTATGAACGGCCTTTTATTGCTCACACATATCTACCTAAAATCGCGATGCACACATATTATATTATGTTATGGTCGCTAATTTGGCTTGCTCGAGCACTGCCTGTGACGCGAAAACGTTATCGTTTTATTGATATAGTATTTAGGTGAGTGGAGCCCGCACCCGCGGTTGAATAATTCATGAGCAGGTCTTTCGAGAGAGT